AAGAAATGCCCAAACATGTACTCACACACATACTTGCAACCAAGTTATCACTGTCGACAAAAGAAATATCGAGTTCCCTTAGGAGTTCTTTTGATATCCTGGTAGCATCATATTCTTCTGATATGCTGAGCCATGCCCTAGTGGGAAAACTCACTTCCACCCTCAAATCTTTGTAAACTATTCGAGCCAAGGTGGTCTTGCAAAGCCCACCCATTCCAACTATTGGAACCACTATGATATTGTCTCCATTTGCATCCTCAGATAGCAACATTTGAATTAGCTTCTCTTTATCAGCATCTCTCCCAAAAATAGCAATCTCATCAACCAAAGGGGTTTCATGTTGTTGATGTGATTGTATTCTTGATTGAATGACTTGCAAACCCAAGGGATTAATTTGTTCTATATACCCCTCCAGGCCCTCCACTATTGTTTCTATCTCGGGCATGATCTTCCTAAGAAGCTTATCACCCGAAGATGTACAAGGCAGAATCCTTTCAAAGCATAATCTTCTTAAGGCACTTTTCCAAGTGCTGGTAGTGCTTTGGTACTCAGTTTCTACCTTAATTCGCAGAGTTTGAGCGTTGATTCTGTCCAGTAAATCCTCTGCTTGATAAAATGTGTCATGAAGCTCTTCAAGCCATTTCTTGACCGATTGGTTCCGTATTTCCTTGTTCTCTGCATCATCAAGCACAGCTCCAACAGTGTGTAAGTTTCTCTTGAGCTTCCGGAGGAGATCATCATCAGCCGTCCTATTACGAAACAAATTCAGGAATTCAGGTCTGGCCATGCTATCAAATAGCACTTGAAGGAAAGCGGAGAGGAGTGAGCCCCCCACTAAGGCAGCAGCCATATCTCCAGGCGAAGATAAAATGAAAGAAACTTGCACAAGGAAAACAACGAGAGACAGAGACCTGCAATAAATGAGGATAATCAATTTTGTTTGGGAAAGTCAAGCTCAAAGAAAGAACATGAACATCAGTTCATTAGGTGTGGCTTTAGTTTAATTATAATGAATTGGTAAAAAAGTAAGCGGCAGCCATAAGTTGGGTTTTAAGTTGACAAAAGTTTTACAATTTTTCTGGGGCCAATTAATACGCTTAGTTTAGCATTTTGAGTCTCTATTTAAATGAAAATGAACTTTCAGACATCGGGGAACCTTTTTTTTTTTTTTGCCTTTCACATATTCTTTTCGTATATTTTTACATTTTCTTTATTGACATAGATTTTTTATGAATTTTAAACTCAGTATAAAACTTGTTAAATGGACTAAAGACCAAATGAAACGGTTTAAAAAATGAGAATGGTTAGCACAAAACTTTTGCAACAATAGAAGGCAGAAGAAAATTGGAGAAAAAAAATGCAAGAAATACACTATTACTAGTAATTTCCTCTTAGTTTGTAAGGTTGAAAGATGAACTAATCTACCCGATACTCGAATCGAGATTGGATTGGTAAGAGTTCATTCAAACTTAGTTCACTAATTAGTCAAGCCAGTTTGAATAGCATCTTATGTTCCATAACATTTAAATTCAATAAAAAAAAACAAGTTCAACAAATAAACAAACTAAATTTTAACAAAATTTTAACCTTATTAAAATAATCAAACAACTTTGAATACTAGAGTCTTCGACTTTATTGGACTTATTTACACCCATACCTTTTCGTGATTATTATTATTATTATTACCCGCTATGGTTTAAAATCCTATATTTAATTCGCTCATGATTTGGATTAAAATTTCACCGTCAATAGTAAAAAGCCAAAATCAAACTAATAAATTGACAAATTCAACCTTACACTACTTTTTTTTCTTTTTTCCTTTTCTTTGTCTCTCTTTGTTTTTTTTTTTGGAAATGAAGAGATGATTTTGAAAACCTACAAAATTTTAATTTTCTCCAAATACGAAAGAGATGGAAGAGAAATAAAAAAATAAATAAGAAACAAAAAAGATGGAAGGGAAATATAAAACAAATAGATAAGAAACAAAAAATATGAAATCTTTTTCCACAGCAAATATCATTATAGGTGTTCAAACCAAATCTTTAATGGTATTTTCTAGTTCTTATTTATCTATTTTTTATTTCAATTTCTCCTTTTTTATGTTTGGAGGGGAAAAAGGTAATGAAAGGATAAATTTGTCAATTTATTAATTTGAATTTAACTTTTTACTATTGATCGTCAGTTTTAATGGAAAAACTATGATATTTTAATCTAAATTATAAGGAGATTATATATATATATATATATATATATATATATATATATATATATATATGTTTTTAAACCATAGGGGAGTTATGTGGTAAATCACGAAACCACAAGAAGGGAAAAAATAATTTATCCTTATTATTATTAGTTTAACTTTTTGTAATCATGTGTATAATCCAATAACAATTACATAAAAATCATCACATCACTATAGAAAAAGCAAGCTTCTGAAATGCAAGTTTTCTTAGTGAAAAAAGCAACGAAAGAGAAACAGGTACATAAACCATTTGAGAACCAACCTTAGGTACCTTCCCTGCATTAAAGTAACAAAAGCAGAACAGGAATGCAAGTTTTTCCAACTAACTGGCAAAACGGAAAAAATAAAGAGAAAGAGAAAGAAGAAAATATGAAAAAGAAAAGTAATGGTGGGTGGTAGGGAAAGTAACCAATGATTCCCTTTGGTGGTGATGAAGAAAAGGACAAACCGAAAAGAAATTGTCCCATGAGAAGATTAATTTAAAAAAAAAATGGCTACAGGACCTATAGTACTCTTTCAAGAAAAGATAAAGAGAGTTGCTTTGTTTTGCCAACTAATCAGCTAAGGATCGGTCTTTACCCTAAGTTCTCGATTCGAGTTGTACCCCCGGGAAATGCTTTCTGAACATAAATTGGAAGTGAGACAGATTTTACACCTAAGTGGATATATTTTAGGGATTAAATTGGAATAAATTTCATACTTTAGGGATTAAAATGAATAAGTTATATATTTTAGGGACTAAAGTATAACATTTTATAATTCAGGGACTAAAGTGCCCTATTTTAAAGTTTAAGAACCAAAGTGAAAACTTGGGTATAATTAAATGATACAAAGTGGAATTAACCCCATGATAATTTCTTCAATTTTTTTTATTAACAAAGGTTAAAATTAGTCAAAGTTAATATGATCATATCCCTCCCTAATAAATGAAGATACATGTCATGCATTCAGATGCGCACTACAAGAAATGAAGAGAGAATCCATTGGAGAGGAGCCAAATTCTTATAGGGTTTTCTTAAACCTTTAATGTGGGATTTGAATTTGATAATTTGCAATTAACCCAAAGTGTCCCCACATAGTTACAAACGAATTTGACATTTTCAACCTATTAACGAATATAATTTGTTTATCCGCTGAACCTATACCAAAACAGTAAAGTGTACACAGCTCATCTTCCTTTCAAGTTCATGCAATCATTTGCTTGTTAATTATCTTAAACTGATGAGTTGTCATATGCCAAAAAAAGAAGTGCTGGGGTATTATTTACTTTGCAATATATTAATTTGAGGAGTTAACTAATCTACCAAAGCATGGAGATCTAGTGAAACTTTGGAATTACTGACCAATGAAGCAATGCTGTTCATTTTTTTTTTTTTGGCTTAAAAGAAAAGACATAGAGCCTTTCCAAGAGTAATTTGAAGAATTAATGTGTAATTTACATGATTTGAAAGCTAGTTCAAAAGACAAAGTGAACAGAGGAATTTCAATCCGTCTAATATCTTGAAAACTGCGTAGAAAAATATCAAAATAAAAGCCACATCCGGAAACGACAAGGAAAAGACAATGAAATAAAACAACAGGGTCCATTATTAAGTCGATGAACCACAAATCAAGACTTCGTATCAGCATAAAGCTTGGCAACGATTGTCATATTGTAGCTGTTAGTATTTGTTGACAAATTTAAAAACATTTTAGGACTTTCGTTAATTTAAATTTAGCAATTGGTGCGATATTAGGTGATTGCGTATTTGATTGCTTTCTGGGTTATAAATAGGCTATTTTATAGTATTTTTCTATGAGATTTTTTTTTATCTTTCTCATCTCTGCTTACACCCTTCACACTTTCAAGTGTTAGGTTTAAGATTCAAATTTTGAATCTAATAATGAGAAAAAGTCCAAGAGCCCTTCTTTGTTTATTAGACCGACTACACTGGTCAGAGTTTAAAGGACTTATTGATAACAATTTATGTGACATTCTTCATTGTTTTAGATCTAAAATTATTGTGATTTGATTTCTTTATTCCATCCCACATAATTAGTATTTGATTATAAAATTCCTTCAATTCTGTGATCATGCAAAATATTAATATTAGAATTCTAAATTTTGAGATCTACAGCATTTCCTTTTCTTTCTAGTAACTCTTTTTTTTTTCATTGGGCTTCTTTCTAATAACTCACACACTACATATTCAAGCTTAGGTATGGCAGAAATGATTAAACTTAGAAATGCCAAAATGAATTAGAAATAAATTGTCATTTTCATTGTTAATAGAGGAATTTATAGATGCGATAAGGAAACAAATTTCAGGTTTTTTAAAATATTTTTTAAGTAAAAAGGGTGTGAAATTTAAGAAATAGAAAGAAAAAAATGGAGATTTAAACTCAATACTTCTAGTTTCTAAGATTTCAATTCTAACCACTACATCAAAACATTCTTGACCAAAATACATGTATCTTTTATGATATAAGCTTCAAAGTAAGAACTATAATAATATTTGTATATCACATTGATAAGTTAAAAGTTTTAAAGTAACTTGCCTAAACTTGAATTTAACGAATATTAGTACTTTTATGGTCACTATTCGACTTTAACGAGATTCAACTCGGGCTCCAACTCAACCAAGTAAGCAAAACTAACACGACTCGGCTACACTTAGTAGTGTACCAAGCCTGGAACAGGGTCCATTATTATTAACGAATTCATTTTCACACCTCACAGCTCTAGAGGCCTCCGGGATCATAGTTGGCCCACAGTCTCTTGAATTCCATCAGCCCAACCCATGTTCAGAAATGTACACGACGTCGTCGTCTGGCAGTTCAACAAGTTGAAAATCTCTTCCTCTTTTGCTTTTTGTAAAGATCGGACAGAAACACGACAACTTCTGAACTACAACTTCTACAAGAAGATGATGAAAGGGTACGCATGGGCTGTTTCGGCTGGATTCAATGCTGCTCTTACTGCCATTGCCGCCAAGCACTTTTCTTCCCAGGTGATTCTTGAGATATCCTCCAATAATCAACTAAATCATATCAGCAAGAAGAGGCGTTAATAGTTGTTAATAGAAAATGTATTCAGCATTAATGGCTTGAATTTGGTTAATTATCAAGAAATTCGTCTTATATTTAAGTTTGTTAACTTCCATGTTGATCTGGAATGAGAATCTGATTAGGTTGACGTCTATTTATCTCCTGATAAGAGATATGTCTTGTTGATTTGTAGTGAGAAATGAAAATTTGTTCTTCAGTTCTATCTAATATGTTTTAACTCTTTAGCCCCAGTATAAATGTGAATATCAATGTTATCTGGGTAATTGGTCATCCCATTTCGGCTGCATACTGTTTTATTTCAACTAGTTTATAAGAGGCACTCCTGGTTTGTGTATTCTAGAAGCCTAAATTTTCTACTATATGTTCAGTTGCCTCGAGCTGGAATTCCTTCTTTGAAGGCCCTGCTTCCTACTCGGATCAGCTCATGTATGCAAGTTGTCACGTTAAGGAATACCAGTGTTAGTTTGAGTGCCTAGTAATCTTGAGCAAAAGAGTACTTATTTTCCCTCCCAATATGAAGATTGAAATGTAATTAGCATAACACATTATACATGCCATGTCAAATTCAAACTCATCAACAAAAGTTAGAGATCAGCTAAAACTTATAATATTGCTTATGTTATTAGTTGCTGTTTATCATTACATACCTGAGAGCGTATCCATTCAGATCCAAATTCTGCTTATGGAATTTAGCAGGGAAGGAGTCAACCTTGATTATTTGTAGAAATCTTAATTTTCTGCTAGTATCTATCGTTTGCCTGCATGTGTTCATGAGGAACAGAGATACAAGAAAGTGTACAAGTTATCTGAGTGTGTCTCTCTTTTCTTCTCAGGAGATATCTAAATGTCTTTGCTGCGGGAGTACAAATAAAACCTATCTATAATCTATTATCACTCAACTGACTTGTTTTTGTTGTAATAATAGCTTGTTAGGTATGGCCTGGTCATAGTACTGAATGCTTTAATGTGGGGGTGTTATGTAAATAGCCTAAAAGCTCTATCATCTCTCCAAGCTACCGTTACAAACTTTGCAATGAACTTTCTCTCTTCTGGATTGGCTGGATTCTTCCTCTTCAAAGAGGTGCTGCCGTTTCAGGTAATTAAGATGATTTTCAGAGGTCAAGACACCTGCACACTTCGACTTATTATGATAGCAAAATTTTCCCCAAATCCAGCCTTATCCATGGCTACATGCCATAGTTTTACGTAGTTGCTGCCATTGCAGCACTTCCTTTGTCCTTCTTAGACAGTGAAGTGATGGACTCAAAGTAGTAGTTTAGTTGAGTTTTGACTCGTATCTCATCTTTTTGTGCCAATGGCTGAACTTAGTAGTGTTTTACATGTTCATCCTAGTCTTTTTGTTTGTTGAGGAAATAAGATAGGATGGATGATAGAGAGGTAGAGCTATCACACCATGTCTTGGTTCCTAATTTCGATTCATCTAGCAGTGTTCAAGCATCAATCTCTGTGGATTCATTTCTTGATGAGTTGTTAAGAAATGGCCAAACATGTACTCACACCCATACTTGCAACCCTCCTGGCCCTGATGCTGCACATACTCACACATGTTACCATACTCATACCCAAGTCATTCCATCTGAGAAAGTGGACAATCCTAGTGAGAAAGTAGATGGTCCTTGTGATAGTAGAAAGTCAACATCAAAGACTAGGAGGTCTTCTGGAAATAGAGAAGCTGTTAGGAAATATAGGGAGAAGAAAAAGGCACATACAGCTTACTTGGAAGAGGAAGCTAAGAAACTGAGACTGGTAAACCAACAGTTGATTAGGAAAGTGCAGAGGCAAGCTATTCTTGAAGCAGAAATCTCGAGGCTTAGAAGCCTTTTGCTCGATGTTAGAGGGAAGATTGATACTGAATTGGGTGCTTATCCCTTACAAAAGCAGTGTACTGCAAGCACTAAAGTTAAAGAAGGGGAGTCAGGGATGCAATATTCTGGTCTGGCAATGGAGCTTCAGTGTGAGAATGATTTAACTTGCTTCCATCCTCACGGGGATTCATCCATAGAGGATGGTGGTTTTGGTGGATGTGATAAAATGGGAGCTTCATCTTGGGAAGGAAACTGCCAGTCTGCAACTGTTGCTTGTAAAGCTAATGGACCTGCAGAAAGAAGTGGTATGGACTCCGTGGAAACAAGGCTTTCATCTGCATCTCAAGCAGAGTAATCAAGAGCCAAGGCAAGATATCAATTATGACCTTCCCGATCGTCAAGTCTTATAGAACTTCTGCTTTAGTTAAATTTATGATAGAACTATGCTAGGTTGGCTGGGGTAATACACATCTGAAGTACTGAACATTCCAAGAATATAGTCATAAATCAGGTTAACACTTTGTTCTATAGAGAAGTATGAACCTGTAGATATTTTTGTACTCAAAAGGGGAAAAAATGACCTCTATAGGATATGGTATCCTCCATGTATGAGAGCACTGATTGATGTACATAAATCTCTATTTCACTAGTGCGGTTTTCAACATTTTGGTGGTTGTATAATAGCACCCCTGAGTAGCTCTCTATGTGGTGGGATTTCCGGTACACTACCAGAATACTTAATGGATGTTATCTTTTCTCTACGTTGGTGTAATTGTGATTTGATTGTATTATGCAAAGATTCTTTGATTAGGAATTTAGGTACCAATTGAAGTAGAAGCTCTTTTTCTTAACACTAGCAACTTTCTATCTGAAGTTTCCTTTTAGCACAGATTGGTGCTGGTTATGAAACTAGGACATTTGTATCTATAGAAGGGTTTTTGTGTAGCACAGATTGGTGCAGGTTATGAGACTAGGAAATTTGTATCTCTAGAAGACCATACAGATGACAAGCTTGATGGATAGGGTTAAGCATCCCAAATCTTTCCACTTTGCTGAATGTCAGTATTATTTAAGGACAGAGTATTCATTGGTCATTTCCTTTCCTTGCAAGGGTGGTTAATTACTCCAACATTTTTTTTTTCTGATAAGTAAGTTTTCCATGAAGATTTTGAAGGTCAATGAACGCCTGAATTCTTGAACATTTAATCCTTCCCCATAATAGATGTTGATTAAACGCAAGATATTTACTTAAAATGTACAATGCCATCTTAACCATCTTGACCCATTCGAGTCTATATGGCACAAGTTCATGAGGTTACAAAATGGATAATCCTTTGAGGTAAACAATTTTCATTAACAAAAAAGATGTGTAGATTATACAAGGAACAAATCAAATCTGGTACTTCTGGACAAATGTTGAAGAGAGGTCGAGAAAAGTAGTTGATTAAAACTGTGGACTGGACTAGGCGATGCAACGACTTATTTCGAGATAGAGAGCATTGCAGGGACCGGAATGTGGGCAATATTCATGCCAACAACATCCTGCTAAGTTTCCTTGGTGTAATTCAAGGTTTCATGCCTGTCACATAAATCATAAGAATGATGAGAAAAATATGTGCAGAATGCAGTTAGCATATGGTCAGGTCATTCCATAAATTCTTTTGCAGGATTTTACTGTGTACTTGAGGGTCTTCAAGTGTGGTAGATCTTAGATTTCAGCCACAGAGGAAAGGAGGCAGCGACTCTTCTGACAACAATTGGAGTTCTGTTTCCCCTCAATCTTGAAGGAAGATCTTGAAATTGCATCAAAGCAATTAACATGCCCAGGTGTATTCTATTGGTATTTTGAAGTGTAAGTGTGAGCATTGTTATGATTTTAGTTTTTGTTATTTCAATTGTGCCCTTCTTAATTTGTGGTTAAAGTTTTATATAATATTAATTGTGGGTGGCTTGGTAGAACAGAGTGGTTGATTATTAAGATCACTAAATTGCATCATACCATATTGATTTAGAAAGAAACATCTCCTTAAGGTTATAAACAGTGAAACTATTTGAGAAACATTACTCGGATGAATTACATAAGTTGTACACATCCAATTCAAAAGGGAAAGAATTTTTCATGTTGCACCCAATGGATTTCAATATGCAAAAAGTAATGGAACATTTATAATTGAAATAACAATATTGAATTGGAAAAATGAAAATCTAAAATAGCACCATACAAATTATTATTATCGTTAATATCAATACCTCAAAACAAGAAAAACTAATAACTATTTATAAGATGATGTAAAGTGAATAGCAAATGATGAATCAAGAAGTTGGAAACACAATTCAAATGATAACAAAGACGATTTCTAAATAATTGAAATCCCAATTCAAGTGATTGAAATCCAAGGGAAGGCAAACATTGTTATTGGCAACAATATAGTAGTAATTTATTTGTATTGCTTTGAGTAAACCAAGTCCATCCATCAAGCCATGCAAAAACCATGTCTAATGATAAAACAAGAATGATAATAAGAGTAAGCTTAAAATGAAGAATGACATCCTATTTTTTTGTGATGCCCAAAATACCCTTGTTTTCTAATGATTACACATATTTATTGCATTGCAATATTAGTGAATAGTGGTAGCGGTTGTGAATTTCATTTATGGTGACAATTGTAAATAGATAGATTTAGTGCATTCCAATAATTGACAATAATGATAGTGGTTATGTATTAAAAGCTGGCAATTGAAAAATAAAACACTCCAATATACTAAAAATTGAGATTAAAATTGTTAATTAGCCACAGTTCACATTCCAATTCCATGATCATCAAAAACAATGATACTGAAACCAAAAAAATTGTGTTCGTGTGAAAAAGTATACTTGTTGCTTTTTCTTTGCATTGGATTGTGCTAAAATATATGAATAAAAGCAAAGGAAAATGGAAAAGTCCAACTATCTCTATCTATGAAATTTCAATTGTCATGAATCATTATACTCCATTATTGTCAAAAATAGCAATAAAAAGAATTCAATAATTTGTTTGTACTCAATTCATACGTAATGATTGTGGTTTATAAAAAAAATTGAAACAATTGTAGTTTTATATGTAATAAAATCACTAATATACAATAAATTTGGTAAATCATGATATTATCAATATTTGATGAGTTAGAGTTGAAGCTATAAATAAAAAAATGTTTGGTTCATGAATTCAAATTTTAATCCTAAGGGACATGTTAACTACATTGGAATGCTTTCTTTCTCTTTCTATTTAATCAAATTTTTAAAAATAATTTGTTAAAGAAAATAAATAACATAAAAATACTAAATTATCATATTGATGATCAAAATTTTACAAAAAAATCTTATTATTTAAAGAGTAATATATTTTAGAATATTATAATCACGTGCAAAGTAAGTACAGTATTTACTAGTTATGTAAATCTAAGAGTACTATAATGCTAAAAATCGAGGATGCAACTTCGACTTCTACAAGCTTTAAACTAGTTGTGAACTTTTAGGCTGACCACAGGTCCACAAAGGCTAGCCAGAATAGTGTTGGAGTTCCACGAGATTAACCAGAATAGTGTTGGACCTTTTTAGCTGGTTATACAGAACACAAGCTTCATTTCCATGACAAAAAATTTCGAGTTGTACCTTGAAGGGGTTCAAGAGGTAATACAGATATTTTTAATCAGGACAGACGTTCATACATCACAAAGAGTAAATTATTCTTATTCTTAGCTATAGCACAGACATTCACCATAAAAGAGACATTGATTGAAGTACAGGAAAGCTCAGCATGTCTGAGACATCATGCTTCAGAAAGAGAACAAGTGTTTGCATCATAAAATTATTATGTTACCGTAAGTTAAAGAAATGCAATAAATCCAGTCTCTAAATGTGATTCCGAAATTGAATCGTTTTGAGAATGAAGCCACTGAAAGAAGGAACAATTCATCTTACTCACTGAGAAGTAGACAGCATTAATGTTCATCCAAGAACCACACAAATCCAACTACAAAAGCAGATTGCTTGTGGCAAGCATCAAACGAAAAACATATATCTGTATTTAAAGCCGTTAGTTGATCACCATATACAGAAGGCACACACTCAGCTTGAAATTTGAGTTAACAGAGTTCCAAAAAGCATGAGTAGAATAACGCACAGCCAACCATTTGGCTGTGTATTAAGAACGAACTAGCGTCACTGTTGATGAGCATATCTTTTGCTATGTTTAAAGAATCCAAGAAAGCTCAATTTTGAAGGCTGTAGTTTGTTTGCGTGCAATGATCCTTTCTTTTTGCTCCCCACCCATTACAGAGGAACTACTGCTACTAAAATATTAAATGTTCTACGGCTACTTTCAATTTAACCATAATAGTTTAGTTAAAGTAAAAGTTATCCAAATCAATATCCACACAATCCTCTAGAAAATTTCCAACTTCTCGTACTTGCCAAAATCAGAAACCTTTCAAAACGTAAATTTACACAGCAGAAATAGCTGCCTCGAGCCCTACTAAGCCTACCACCACCCTCTCTTCACCTGATATGAAGCAGTCATGGTACTCGCCGCTGCCCTCAGAGGCATTGCATTAGTTGCAGAAATGTCAATCATTCAATTCAAAGCATGACAATAAAGCCACATTTTTGCTTAAAAGTAAATATTGGAGTCTTAATTTTCCTTTTGCATTTTCACAATCTCCTCTTCGTTTTGTTCCTTAACACTAATTTCCTTTTCTTAGTGGGTGTGATAGCGATAGTCATGATAATCATGTTAATACTTCCAAATTCACTTCAGTGATGTGATTGAAACAAAAATATACCAGGATTATTCAGAAACTAAAATTGAAATCAAATAATAAATGCAAAGGACTTACAACATGTGCCCCTATTGTTAATTGCAAAGAGAAAGGAAATGTTTTTCTACGATCCAATGTAACAAGTGAATATCATCTCAAAAGTTGAAAAATTCCAGAATTTGCAAATGCAAGGCAAGATCTATGATGTGGCTTGCACTCTTGCAATAACATCATTGGAGTAGACAATCAAATGTTCTGCAAGGTTGGCCATGAACAAGGAGAAAAATCCCAAAAGAAAAACAAGAACTAAAAAGTAAGTCGAGAAGATTTTCAGCAGGAAGCTGGGATCATATGCACAGGAAATGACACTCCTGTGATTTGAGGCATTGGAGCGTTCCAAGAAAATGAATCTGACAGAGGAAGGTACCTTTACACCCTCAAGCTCGATCAAGTGATAAGCAAGATTCTATGTCGAATTAGTTCACTATCGAAAGCTATGAAGTTTACATTAGAAACCTTGGGGCCAGTCTTTCCTCTCCCATTCTGCCCTTACATAGTAATTTGACCAATGAATACCACATTTTATATGCATAATGGAAGTCGGGAGGTTGCCAACCACTCTTTTTGTAGCAACCAGTGCTGAGAGCAGTCACCTATTTCCATATCTTCAAGATCTGTAGGTCGTTGTTCTTCAGCTCTTGTGCTGCTCCAAGTGAAAGATTGTACGTGTGCAGTGTGCAAGACAGCAGCCAGTATTTTGAAAGTGACTCTTCTTCCTCGGTGCCACTAATCTTGCATTCTCAACGAGAGGGGAAATTCAGGATATCCACCATCAAAAGGATATGTTTGTATTCTGGAGGCAACAGTGAGCTACAAAAGCTCTCAGCTACAGGATGCTGCCACACTTTTGAACATTAATGCACGAGAAGGGATTGCATCTTTCCAAGCAGCAAATTGAACCCCTTGTAATATGAACTTCTGAAAAGAGGCACTAAATAATCATTGTCCAAATTCTGGAAATAATTATCAAATACAACAATGATTTGCCTTTCAAATTTTTGTCTATTTCCTATGTAGAAAGTGGGAAGAGGAAGAGCAGGAAAGGCAACGACGGGTTACTGGTCAGGGAATGCCCTCTTTAAATACCAGCTGTTGTTTCAAGAAGAGTGCTTGAATTACAGAAATTCATTCCAATTTATCGAAGGTCTACAAGGATATATGAAAATATTTACAATGAACACAAAGTGCGACATACCTAGAATATCTTGTTGCGTAGGATAAATATGAAAATATTCGTAGAAGTGGAGCAGAGCATTAGAGATGGATTATGCAGCAAATACATAACTAAACAAGCTATACCAGAGATAGAATGCAGTCAACTGTACTCCATGAGGAAAAGCATACAAGGGGAAAAGATAGCAGAAACCACTTCAAATTAGTTGTCTTTTCCTCTTTCAGAAAAATTGATTCTTCAGTATGTATTGCTTCGTTCAGTTTATTATTATCAAGGGCTAAAACAAGTGACCTGAAGTTTTATGTTTTGGGACTCTCAAGTCACCATTATATGAAATGTTGATGGTTAGTGTCAAAAAGGTACTCATCCGACGTTTATACCGTTTGTGTAGAAGGATCTTGGAAAGTTGAAATTTACACGGCAATCACACGAATACAAGGTGTAAATAAGAATGAAATTAAGTCATAACTGTCATCAACACAAATATCCATCAGTGATTTTCGGCTCATTTTCTTTTTGCACCCTTACTACTCTCTCTTCAAATTAATTTTATGAACTCTTCATCTATTTAGGATCAAACACAGACAAATATCCAGCAAGGAGCCTTTTACACGCCTAATGCTGCCAAGTCAAAAGGGTAAAATACCATTGTAACCAACAAAAGGTACACAAGCCTGGACCATATTTAGAAAGGGCCATGCCAAATCCGTAGCAAGAAATATTACCTTAATGCAAGGGATAATGATAAACAAAAGGAAGCCAAAAATATTTGAAGGAAACCAACAACTTACCAGAAAAAAAATTTACCAGAAAACCTCAAATTAAGAATGGGAGCTGCAAAAGAAAGCACTGCAAATGTTTAAAAGAAGAGTACAAGGCATGGAAGTACTTAACTTGGAGAAATGTCCGGAGATGTTCTGCATGGCATATTTATGTAGAAAGAGAATGAAGGACATACAGGAATTGACAACCTTAGTGGTATGCAACATTCTAATCTAAGAGCAATTTTTATGACACAGATAAAACCATAAAGAAAAGGATTTTTTTTTGTACCCCAATACATCTTGCATGTACAAAGTCCTCAATAAGGAATTATATCTTCCAAGACAAATAGGAAAAGGATGACTCTACTGGAACCCATGACAATTTGTGTTCAATACAAAGGTGTTGCCAGGCTGTGCCATATCCCTTCAATTTATCATTTCCTCCATCCATTTCCACAATTTTCTTCACCATTTCATCTTTTTGGTCTTGCTTAACGTCTTATTATATATAAAAGCAAATGAATATTTTGAAGAAAGCTTGGTGCAAAGAGCTAGAAAGGAGCAGATCACTGAACATACCTAAGGTGACTTGAAGATTCTATTGAACTTTATATGCTACAGACGTTCTGGAAGCATACATAAGAAATTCAAAATGACAAAATACAAGCTACTAAGGTATCAATGACCAAAAAATATGATGGTGATAATATGGGTCTTACCAAGTATCCTCTCAACTTAAGGTCAAAAGAAGCTTGCCAAATCTGGATATGAAACAACTATCAACATCTATAGAACCTGAGATCAACTGACCAAGTTCTCCAAGAGTCACGATATTGAAGCGTCACTTTTCAACCAGTAACAAGAAAACCTTAATAGACATTTTCACTTGTGTAACTAAGCTTGATCCAATTGATACATCCCATGGTTTAAGCAGGTTACATGCCAGAAAGAAGTCCCTTTTCTATTCTAAAGAACTTCAACTAAAATTCATCACAGGTAAAAGGATTAAATAGCTCGTGAAGATTAACAATGGTGTAGCAGTTCAGATGGAGTTAATAGGAATAAAATAATATTACAATGATGTCAACAGGAACAAATACTCATAGAGTACAAATGAGTAACAATTTCCTAAGTTGAGTTTACTATAACTTGCAGATTGCATTTTAATGAACTGTGCTGTCTGTTCAAAACAATTTCAAGACTGCACAATTGTCACATAAGTGAAAGCACGGATCTTGATGCTCCTAAGAATTGTCAGGGGGCCATAATGAAAAGTCAATGAATTGCAACGTGCAAAAAGGAAAATAATTTACCTTCAGAGAAATTGTGAGTGCATAACTGATCACAGAATAAACACATCATTGACATCCATGAATTGTCAGTTACATTGCACCAATCATCTTCTTCCCTTTAGTGTCATCAATGTGGGCAGTTTTTTATTTCTGCCATAAAAAGCAGATAGGTAGACCCTCTTCTGGCAATGGCTGAAGCTGAAAGCAATAACGAGCTGTATTCCCTAGACGGGAGAGTGCAATTCTGCACCTCTCAGATACAACAGATTGAGATCAAATTAGAGAAGCCCGGACTGCTCCTAAAAAGATGAAAATTGTTTTGTATTATAGCTTAGAAAGTAAACAGAAAATTGCAAAGCATGCACATAGAAAACTTTTAGCAAGTTTAAGAACAGTCTAACAATCATAGATGGTTAACAACATATTGAAGGTTTCCTTCCTCCATCAGCATATACCAATTGAACAAACGTGGAGAAGAAAGGCCAAAGACTTTAGCCCTCTATTTAATCACAACACAGAAATCCTACTGTACTATACCAAACACTCAAACAGAGCTAGCCAATATGCGAAAGAAGTTGAAAACACTCAAAGATTAAAAGTGTTTAAAAAAATATAGGGTACCTTAATCCAAAGAGATGATGGAGGTCTAGTAACTGTGGGATCCCTCACACTTCTAGCGTTTTTGTTAAGGGATTAATTCTTGATCAACTACTGTGCAGGGATGTCTGTAATCTCGGGCCAGTCTTGTCATTTCTCCCATTCCAACTTTGGTTTCAGCAATGGGCAGTCAAAGATTTCCAAGGAGGTTGCGAGTCCCTCTTCTAGTAGGGATTGGAGTGGAGTACAGGTCATGATTGTTAGCTTTTGAAGAAAACAGTAAGGTGTCAAAGACCTGAATAGTTTAGCATGTTCAGATTCTTAAGGATCCATAATCCAAGAGATTCAAACAAGGCGACAGTCCTCCTGCACAACTCTACAAAGCTACCACCAATGCTCAAGTGTGTGAGAGGGAGCTTCTCCAAACCCCACTCTCTCCGGTAACTCATGAGCTCTTTGCAATAGGAGATCTCAAGATAATGTAGGCTAGAAGGCAAACGACCTCCTAGGAAGCACTATTTGTCTAGTTTCAGATATCAAAGAGGTGGGAGGGATTTATCCTTTTCGGCAGGAGGCACTTGATGAGAGTAATCTACTATAGATAGGGGGGTGGAAATCCTCCCTCTGCAAAAGACATAAGATTAATGCAGAACTCAATAAGGATTGCTATGACATCAGTCAAAAAAAGTCATCTTTGAGTACCAATCCTTTATTCAAGAAGAATGCTTGAATACAGAATTTTTTCAATTTATCAAGCTCCATAAGGTGGCATGCAAATATTTACAACCAACACAGAGTACAACATACCTAGAATATCTTGTTGGATATGGTATATATGAAAACATCAGTAAGGTGGAGCAGAGGACTAAAGATCGATCATGCAGCATATAAATTATTAAACAAGCTATACCAGAAATGGTAAGAAAAAAGAAAATGCAAATGCAAACCAAAGAGGCAGAGTGTAGTCATTTGTTCTCATGCAGGAAAAAGCTTATGAAGGAAAAAGGCATCCAAGAACACACTTCAACTAGGTCTTTCTACATCCAGAAAAATTAGATTTTGGTATGCATTGCTTACTTTATTTTTCTAATTACCATGGGCTAAAATAAGTCAACTGAAGTTTAATTGTTTTAGGATTCTCAAGAAACTATCATTAGAATGATTGATGATTAGTGGCAAAAGAAGAAAGGTACTCATCTAAAGTTCATACCCTCTTTGTGCAGAAGGATCATGTGTCGCTCAAAACTTACACAGTACTCCGACAAACACAAGGAGTCGATAAGACTGAGATCAAGAAACACAAATATGCATTCCAGCCATTTGATCCTTTTTTTTCTTTCTTGTTACCCCATCTTGCAATCTGAAAATCAATTTACTGAAATCTTCATCTATTTAGAATCAGAAAACAAATAATGTCTAGATAGCAATGGTGCCTTTGATATTCCTTCTACTCTAAATTCTAAACTGGTGCTTAGCATCCCCAACCAACATAAAGCACCCAAGTCTAGACTATATTTAGAAGGGGCCACGACAATTCTGGATCTGAAATCCAAGCCTTAACGTGAGGAATGATAAGAGCATGATGTTGAGCCCCAATAAATGCATGACAGATTTCAGCTTGTGATGTTCAGGTTGATGGTTTTCCAGAGTGGTCTATTTGCTGCATGGAAAATTGAGGAAGCTAAAAGATATGTAGAGGTTACCTGCATATTAACAACAAAAATTGTTCAATTAAATAGTAAACCTCAAATTGTACATAAAAGATAAAAGAAAGCACAAAAATAGTTTAAAGAAGGCATAATCAGATGGAAGCATTTAACTTCATGACATCTTAGGAAAAATGTCCTGCAGTCGCATAATGGTGCAGAAAGAAATTAAGAAATTTAGGAATTGACCCCAAAAAATAGAAAAGAAAAACTTCAATGATCTCGTCAGGAGAAAAATACTCATATAGACAGGGTGTCTAACAGTTCCTCTAATTAGAGTTGACTAAAACTTGCGATATATTTGCATTACATTGTACTTTGTAGTGTTCAAACATTTTTAAAAGTTCCCATGACTGTAGCATAGAGAAAGCATAGATCTTGAAGTCAAGCAAGCATACTCAAATACAACAAATTGCATTATGTAGAGAAAAAAGAAGAAAATAATTTAAATTGAAAGTGAATAGCTGATCATAAAATAAGTTTATTGTTGACATCCTTGAAATATGTGCTACCTTGTGCCAATCTTCTTCTTCTCTACTCCAAACATAATGTCAGCAATTAGTAGTTCTTGGTCTCCAGCATAAAAAGGGATGTCACTAGCCCCAATCTTCAATGGCTAAAGATGAAAGCAACCTTCGAGGACTAAGAAAGATGTTTCACCTAGACTGGAAGAGAGCAATTCCTGCATCAAATTTTGAAAAGATTAGAGCACTTCATAAATGCTCCTTAGAAGAAGCAAATTGTCTTTTATTATACTTCAAAGCAGAATTAAAGGATTGTAAAACGAACACATTAACAACTCAGGCAAAATGAGGTCATAGCTTCAAACAGGAAATTATTGAGTGCATCAAAGAAATCACAGAAAACACTTAGCGAGTTTAAGAAGAGTCTAATAATCGTAGATACCTTATAGAAAATTGAAGGTTTTTTTTCTTCATCAGCAGTTGCACAGTTACCGAGGAAAGCATTTGTCTGCCTGAGTTGGTGGCCTACTTGATTGGAATCTACAGAGCAGAAATGTACCAAAGCATGGACTCTTATTTTAAAAAAAAAATTGAAAAAGAAATACAATGGTGAAATCTATAGCTAGAAAGTAATATATTATGAGATTGTTGCATCAGTAATGGCCACTACCTCAACTGTCCTTTCAGCACATCCTAGTTATTCACAACAGGCAATTCGCACTGCAATCACAACAAAAGATGCATTAATTAGTTGTGATTTTGCCTTTCGAGGCTTCAGAGTATTTGGAGAGAATAAAAAATATGAAGAAAAGAAAAAAATTGAAAAGCAAAGAAGTACCTCTAATTATATGAATCGATGATGATGAGGGTCTTGTAACTCTGGGAGGCAGGTCCTCACCAGCAACCAGCGTCACCATCAAGGAACTAGTTCACCCTCGACTACTACGCAGGGGATGCGGGCAACCTTGGGCCAGTCCGGTCCTTTCTCCCATTCTAACCTTGGTTCCAACAGTGGGCAATTCCCAATATGTAGTCTGGTGAGGGAGGCGGGCAGTCCCGCTTCCGGTAGGGACTGGAGTCGAGGGCAATCAGAGATGTGTAGATCTTCAAGAGAGGTGAGGTGTCGAAGAGCCGAATAGTTTAGCACTTTCAGATTCTTAAGGAAGCTCAAACAGAGTGTTCGAAGCGTGCAAGGCAACAGCCAATCCTCCTCTGGAAACGACTCTTCATCACTATCAGAAATCCTCAAGAGCGTGAAAAAGGGAAGTTTCTCCAAACCCCACTCTCTCCTACGACTCATGAGCTTCTTGCAACCGTAGATGACAAGGGATTGTAGGCTGGAGGGCAAACCCCCTTCCGGGAAGCACTCAATTTTGGGACAATTGTTTAAATGCAGACGTCGAAGAGATGGGAGGAGGGACTCCATCTGTTTCGGCAGCGACGTGAGCTTCTTGCAATCGCGGATGCTAATTAGGGATGGCAATGGGGGCGGGTGCCCGCGGGGGGCTCACGGGGCGGGGGTTGGGGCGGGGGGTGGGGCGGGGGAAATTCCCCCCGCTTAGAAACGGGGCGGGGGGCGGGGGTATACTCCCCCGCCCCATCCCCCGCCCCGCCACCCGCAAAAAAAAATATATATATATATATATATAAATGACTATATATTATATGTAAGTTAATTAGTTATAAACTTATGATAATGATATTATTAGTTAGATGTATTATATAATGTATATTAGTTTATGTAATATAATTGATATTATCAATTATATGAATAATTATACATGTCTACTAATAGAATTTATTAATTAGTTATACTAAATTTACTAATACATTTATACTAAATTTCTAATTACACTTAATAGAATAACACTTTTTTCTCAAAAAAAAGCACAAACACAATGATGAATTAGTGATTGCATTTGTACTAAAAGTGAAAATTTGACTATTTTAGTTATATTTATTTATCATATTGGATTGTATTCAAATAACTTCTGTTTGATTGTTTTTATGAGTTTCAATTGTAAAATTACAATGAATAATAATTTGGTGATGTGTTGATATTTTAGTAGTTGATTATTTATTAAAATTTAATTATAATAAAATTTTATAATAAAATTTTATTAACCCCCGCGGGTGCCCCCGCGGGGGAAGCGGGGCAAGGCGGGGCGGGGCGGGGCGGGGGGAGCGGGAGGCGGGGGACGGGGCGGGGGACGGGGGGAACTAATAGGCAACGGGGCGGGGGACGGGGGAGGGGTCCCCCGCCCCAACCCCGCCCCGTTGCCATCCCTAATGCTAATCGTCGTTAGATTGGGGGCTGCCAATCCTCCCTCTGAAAAAGACATTAATAGATCATCGTAGCCGTAGACGTCTAAGGATTGAAGTGACGTCATCACACTAGTAGTAGTAGTAGTAGTTATACCACTCTGATTCTCAACACTCCTGCAGTACCTAATTTCAAGACGTTTTAGCATAGGGAACGAGGCAAGCCACTCGGCTTTGACTTTGAGGTCACAACCGCCTAATACCAAGTACTCCAAGGCCCCACCACCCTCCAATTCCAATTTGCAACCCATGTACTCCAGTGATTTAAGTGAGGCAGGCAGTCTACTCATGTGCGAGGGGCAGAGAGACCGACAATCATGAATCGTCAGTTTCTTAAGTCGGGATAATTGGTTGAGCTGTAGGGGCAACTCCTCCAAATTTTCTAGCTCTGAAATATTCAATTTCTTAAGCTTGGATAATTGGTTGAGCTGTAGGGGCAACTCTTTCAAATTTTCTAGCTTTGAAATCTTCAATTGATGAAGAGATGAAAAATTTTGTTGATTCTCTCCATTCAGGATGCTCAATTGACCATTGTCCCACACAAGATTGTCGCAGCCAGATATCTCAAGGCTTTGCAGTGATGGAAGTTGTTGGGGAAGTTCTCCAATCAATTTGGGACAATCACTTATCCTGAGTCGTTCAAGTCCATTGAAGACTTCACCCTCTGGTATGTACCAACTCTTCCACTGTGGCAACCACCCGATTGTCAAATTTTTCAGAGATGGGAATGGTTTGGTTACATTGATGTCTCCATAAAAATCTTGTGTCAAGACTGGTATACAACTCATTCCCACAATTGCAAGTGATTGCAAGGACTGTAGCTGCCCGAGTGTAGGCAAGGAGTGGCAATATTTACACCCAGATAGACTCAAGGATTCCAAACTGCTGAAAGAAGAGTTGCCTAGCCAATCTGGAAATGTTGTCCCGCCATTCCACTGCAGGGTTAACCTTTCAAGGTGTTCCTTGCCTTCCATGTTCGCCATTGATGCATCCATACCAGCAGAAACATTTTCTAGCCCGGAGAGGATTAGCTCACCACGTAGCATAGGAAGCTTGCCCAACTCCTTAATCGTCGAACCACTGTTCTTCCCTATGACAAAATTTGTCAAGACTTGAAGGTTTATCAGTCTACCCATTTGTGGTGGCATTTTCTTCAATGGAGTTCCACTAATATCCAGGCAACATAAGTTAATTAACTTTCCCAAATTTTTTGGCAACTCTTCAAGTTGTCTGCAATTTGACAGCAACAAAGTTTGTAGATTATAGAAACTACATATCCAGTCCGGCAGCACCTTTATTCCTGTTTCAGAGAGATTCAGAAATCGAAGTTGTTTCAAACCACTATATGACTTTGGTAACTTCACAATATTCTCATAATAGGACAAAGATAGAACCCTTAAAGACATGAATTGGGGCAAGGCATCCTCAAAGAATTTGTTGCTTAGACGAATCATAGAATCCGTTCTCAATGGCAAGAATGTCCTTATATTCTTAGTCTGACTCAAGAGATTAAATTTGTGAAATGTGTCATACCAACTAGGATGGTATGAAAAATGTCTTGCACCAGATATTGTAGCATTGCCTTCCTGATGATCTTCAAGCCTAAGGCAGTATTTCCCAAAGAAAAATCTAGCCAGATCGTTGACAAGGTCATGCATGGAGAAAGTATGGTCAGTTGACTGATGAAATAATGACCTCATTCTCAGTTCATGAATGAACTTCTCACCCTTGTTTTCAATTCTTTTATTTTCTCCAGGGTACTCTAAAAGATCATTAGCTTGCCATAACTGAATAATTTCCTCGTTTCTAAACTGGTAATCTTTGGGAAACACAGCACAATAAGCAAAGCACCTTTTAAGATAGGAAGGAAGATGAATGTAGCTTAATCTCAATGCTGGCATGGGGCCACCTGGAATATCCATTTGAGTCCACTCTTCACTTGTCAAAATCTCTTTCCATTCTTTGGGGGTTGTTTTAGAGCGCAAAACACCTGCAACTGTTATCACAGCCAAAGGCAACCCTCGACACTTCTTCACAATTTGGTTTCCTATTTCTTCAAGTTCTGCATTTTCATTGCCATCTCTATTTTCAAACGCATGCTTCTTAAATAAAGACCGGCAATCTTCCTCTAGCATGGAATCCAAATGATGAATTGACCTTTCGTTGGCCATCATCATTGCAACATTCTGATCCCGTGTTGTAACAATGATCTTACTTCCACGTGATCCACCTTTGAAAGGGGTCCTTAATTTTTTCCACTCATTGTAGTTATCATTCCAAACATCATCCAGAACAAGAAGGAACTTTTTATTGGCTAGACCAACTTGTAGCTTTCCTTGAAGGGAAAACAATTTCTCATCCTTGTCAAAAGAAATACTGAGTTCCCTTAGGAGTTCTTTTGTTATCCTTGTAGCATCATATTCTTCTGATACACAGACCCATGCCCTGGCAGGGAAACTCTCTGCCACCCTCGAATCTTTGTAAACTATTTGGGCCAAGGTGGTCTTGCCAAGCCCACCCATTCCAACTATTGGAACCACGGTGAAATTGTCTCCATTTGCATCCTCAGACAGCAACTTTTGAATTATCCTCTCTTTATCAGCATCTCTCCCAAAAATAGTAGTCTCGTCAACCAAAGCTGTTTCAAATTTTTGATGTGACTCTATTCTGGAATGACCAACTTGCAAACCCAAGGGACTAATTTGTTTGTTATATCCCTTCAGCCTCTCCACTATCGTTTCAATCTCAGGCTTAATCTTCTTAAGGAATTCATCACCCGAAGATGTACAAGTGCTGGTAGAGCTTTCGTACTCAATTTCGACCTTAATTCGCAGGGCTTCAGTGTTCATTCTGTCCAGTAAATCCTCTGCTTGATAAAATGTATCACGAAGCTCCTCAAGCCAGTCGTTGACATATCCCTTCGGTATTTCCTTGTTCTCTGCATCATCGAGCACGGCTCCAGCAGTGCGAAACTCACTCTCGAGCTTCTTGAGGAGGAGAGCAACATCGGTCTTCGGATTACGAAACAAATTCACGAATTCCGGCATAGCCATCCTATCGAATAGCACTTGAAGGAAAGCGGAGAGGAATGAGCCTCCCACTACGGCAGCGGCCATATCTCCAGGCGAAGATAAAATGAAAGAAACTTGCACAATGAAAACAACGAGAGACAGACACCTGCAATAAATGAGAATAGTCAATTTTGTTTGGGAAAGTCAAGCTCAAAGAAAGAACATGAACACCAGTTCATTAGGTGTGGCTTTAGTTAATTATAATGAATTAGTTAAAAAGGAAGTGGCAGCCATAGTTCTCAACCTGTCATACACTAACCAGGGATTTTGACTTTTGACAAAAAAAAATTTTGGCCAATTAACACAGACGCATAGGTTAGCGTTTTAAGTCTCTATTTAAATGAAAATGAACTTTCAGACAAAAAAAAAAAAGAAAACAAAAAAATCAGGGAACTTTTTTTTTTTTTTTTTTTGCCTTTCACATAATTTTTTCGTATATTTTTATATTTTCTTTATTGATATTGATTTTTTATGAATTTTAAATTCAGTATAAAACTTGTTAAATTGACTTGTCAGGAATTCAGGAATAGCCATCCTATCAAATAGTTATAGCACTTGAAGGAAAGCGGAGAGGAATGAGCATCCCACTAAGGCAGCAGCCATATATCCATGCAGAGGTAAAAGTGAAAGCCACTTGCACAAGGAAACCAACGAGAGAGAGAGACCAGCAATAATTTTGTTTGGGAAAAGCCAAGCTCAAAGAAAGAAAGAAAGAACATGAACAGCAGCAGACCAGTTCATTTGGTGTGGCTTCATTTGATGTTTTTGTTTAATCAATATGGGTTTAGTTAAAATAGGAATTGGCAGCCAAAGTTGTCAACCACTAATTTGGGTTTTGACTTTTAAGCTGCCGAAAGTTGTCCAACATGCGAATTTTGACTTTTGACTGTTTAGTTAAATTTACCTTTTATGCTTATAATTTGATATTTTATCACGTAACCCCCTATATGATTTAAATATCTATATATAATCCCCTCTTGGGTTAAAGTGTCACCGTTTGTTTTTCCGTTAAAACTAACGAATGGTTAATAGTAAAAAGTTTAAGTCAAACTAATAAATTGATAATTTACCCTTTTCTTATTTCTTTTTTTTTTCCTTCAAACATAAAAAAGAAGAAATTGAAATAAAAATAAATAATAAGAACTAGAAAATTTGATTAAAGATTTGGTTTTAAAATATATAATGATATTTGTAGTAAAAAAAGATTTGATATTTTTTGTTTCTTATATATTTGTTTTATATTTCCCTTCCTTCTTTTTTTTGTTTCTTATTTATGTTTTTGTTCCCTTCCATCTCTTTTGTATTTGAAGAAAATTAAAATTTTGTAAGTCAAAGTGTAGGTTTTCAAAATCATCTCTTTTCTTTCCAAAAAAAAAAAGAGAGATAGAAAAGGAAAAAAAGAAAAAAAATAGTGAAAGGGTGAATTTCTCAATTTATTAGTTTGACTTTGACTTTTTATTATTTACTATTATGAAAAAACTAACAGTGACACTTTTAATCCAAACCATGAGAAAGTGATATATATGCTTTTAAAACATAGGGTGTTATATAATAAAACACTAAATCATGAAAAGTACGTGTAATTTACCCTTTTTTGGTAATTAATACATAGGCCTAATAGGATAGCATTTTGAGTCCCAATTCAAACGGAATTGAACTTTCAGAAGGGGGAAAAAAGAAGGAAAATGGAAAAAAAGGAATAAAGAATATTTAAACTTTTAAAAAAAATGAGAGCAGTCAGCACATAACATTTGAAACAACAAGATAGAAATTGGTAAAAAAACCACACTATTAAATAATAATTTTTCCCTCACTCTCATCATTATTATTCGTAATATTAGTTTAACCTTTTTGCAATCGTGTATAAATCCAATATCAATTCCATTAAAATCATCATATCAACAGCGAAAAAAGAAGTTTATGATGGGAATCAGAATTCAATTCATTCCAAGAATTAAGAGTTTGAAAACCAAAATTCGAAGTTGATACGAATTTGAGTTACACCAATTTCACCTCCAATTTATCTAATTTACAATATTGAAACGTTAAAGATGATTAGAACTTAGGGGGGCACGAAGGATAATCGGGAATTGGCTGAGTGTTAGCTTAGTAGTGTATTAGTTGAATATTAGTTCTTGATTTAATTGAGGTTTCCGCTTGTAACACTTAATCGACGATCATAATAAAATTCCACCTTTTTCTGAAAGCAAAAGGAAAAAAAAAAAAAAAAAAAGAGATGATCGTAACGACCATATGTGACGAATTTTAACAGAATTCAATAGAATTTGCAAAATTTGATGAAGAAAAGAATTTGAAGAAAAATGAAGCTTACGGTCAAACGGTATCGGGCTTGGTACTTATAGTCAGTCCAGGCTTGGTGATATCGAAGAATGATGCCAGGAACTAGGAAGGCTTGGTGTAAAACCTGTGATCAAAGTTCGTTGTTGTTCTACAGAATATACAGAAAATTTATGAGCAAAGAAATTAGAACGTGGTCTGAAAGAAAATAATGGAAACTGAACAAAATCACTGGGCCAATGGCTCAGTAGCCACCAGGGAGGAACTTAAGTCCCTCCTTGGCCTGTAGGTGAGGGTTCGAATCTCACCTGCAATGAAAAAAAAATCTAAAGATTGTGTCATAGCACAAACTGAACAAATACATGGGCCACGGAGCAAATGTGTGCCCTGCACCCTTTTGATGGTGGGAATATATGATCATTGACTGGGGAGAAATAAGTTGTCATTTGATGTGATTAATCTACAACACTACGAAAGTGGAAATTGATTCTTATATGACAGTACCAACTCTTATTCAAAATGCTCCATCTATTATTATGATGAGCGTCCCTCAATTATTTAAGGAATGCAAGTGAAGATCAATCATGCTTATGCGGTTTATTTTTTTTTTAATCTTTTAAATATAGATTTATCTATTTATGCTGACAGTGTATAAAATTATATTTTAAATTTAAGTTGGAATTAGTTAGCAAGCAAACAAGGAGTATATTTTCTCCTTTAATTCTTTCTTTAGATTCTATTTTGCAAGAATTTCTTGTTTTACACAAAGGCCTCCCATAATTCTACTGATTAGTTTTACATCAAATTAGATATGTCCATGGTTATTGCTTCGCAACATATTTGCTGCAAAGAGGGCTGCCACTAGAGGTGTCAAAATGAGTGATTTGGACGGGTTTGAGTTGGGTAAAATGGGTAATGGGTATAAGTGAGTCAACCCATTTTTACCAATTTAATTAGATGGGTATAAATGGGTAAGTCAAAAAATGAATTGGGTAACCCAATTACCCCTTTATAACCCATTTATTTTTATTTTTTGTAAACTCATTTAAATTTATTTTTTGCAAACTTAGTTATCAATTTATACCGCTCGTTGTACCCATTATTAATTTTAAATATTTACTTATAATGTTCAATAAACCTAATTACCAATTTTTTTTCATTTATACTATATGTCGTAAAATTACATATTATTTAATAATTGAATAATAAGAATAAAAAAAATTTGAACTAAGTACTATAAAAGTTAATATAAAACCTTAATCCAAAAATTTTGAACCCCTAACATTTTTTTCATATATAAATTTAAAATTTCATTTTAGAAGGATAAGAAAAGAGGCTAAAATTTATCATAAATTGGTAATGCTAAAAAATAAGCAAGTTAACAAACTAAGAGAAAATAAAATAATAATAATAATAATGAAACAAAAGTAGTTAATATCATGACAAAATGAAAAATTTGGAAAAAAAAGGGTGAGGGAAGAGAAGAGACTTGGGGGAAGAGAATTCTAAATGGGTTAATTGGGTTTGATGGGTTACCCAATAATACCCATTTAATGGGTATTATTGGGTAACCCATTTATATCCATCTATAAAAATTTAAAATACCCATACTCATCTATTCATGGACGGGTATGGGTAAATTTAGTTAAGTGGGTTGGTTTGTCATCTATAGCTGCCACCAGTAGGCCAATATGGATACTGTCGCGAAACAACCATTAGATCAAGATCGAGTGGGGGGGAAAGAATTTGCATGACGTCTCCAATTATTGAATTAGCTGGGTCGTCAAATGCACTGTGGATGACTTTTCTCAGGCAGGAAAGAATTATTGGACGCAAGGATGTAGAAAATGTCGTAAATGAGCATTTCTGACGATGATTATTCAATATCTAGTGCATTTCGCCATTGAAAAGAAAAAGCTAAAATGAAGCAGAAGCAACTTGATAGAAAGGCAGACACGGTGGATGAATATTTCAAACCAACGAAAGCAGAACAAAAAGAAGAAGAAGAAGAATATAGAGGTGGCAAAATGGACGAGATAGGCAGGATTTGCTTGGGTTTGAGATGGAATCGGATCATATGGGTTTGGGTTCAACCTTACCCATACGTGTTTTGGGAATAATTTGGACGGGATCACTTTGGGATATGTATAAATTGATTCCGCCCAATACCCAAATCTATTTTCTATATATATATATATATATATATATATATATATATATATATATATATATATATATATATATTCCTTTAATTTATTTTTTATTTTTTGTATAATTTTAATATTTTTTATTTATTAAATTTCTTTTTGTCTTATTATGAATTTATATTTTCATCAAATGGGGAATGTAATGCAATTTCCAACAAAACCATATTACCGTAAAAAATTATCTTTGAGTCAGCAAATAGCAGCATTGGGTAATCAAATTAGTCCACTAAGCCTGAATAACATTGATTTACACTCTAGAATGATCAATAATTACTTAAAAAAGATATGACATTTTGGTAAAAATGAACATATTTTCTCCTTGAATTAAACCAAAAAAATGAACATTTGGTTTATTCATACATGAAGTTGACGTTTTTACTTCCTCAAAAGCATGAAAACAAAAAGGCAAAGGAAATAGCTAACCAGAAAATAAACATGCAAGTGCCTTATACTCACGATTTCCACTCAAGAGTAATGATGGTTGGCGAGGAAATTAACCGACATTGATTCCTTCGGTTTTTTTTTTTGGGCCAATTACAATAATATTTTTATAACCTAATATATTCTATTCTATAGAAAGGAGAAGTTTAAAAAGACTGTATAAGAGATTAGTAAATATACAGATTCAATTAAATTAAAAAAAATATTTTGACAACTCTTTTAAATTTTTTTTAAAGTAGATGAAATTTAAATCTTCGACTTACAGTCGAAAAAGATAATCCCTCTCTGAGAAAAGAAAAGACAGACTGACAAGTGAAGAAATTGTCCTGTGAGGTGATTACTCAAAAGTGACTGCGAGACCTATGGTACTATTTCAAGAAAAGGGCAAGAAAGGTGCTTTATTTTCTTTATGCAAATTTTTGGCCGAAAGTAAAATAAAGGTTGTACAACATGTCATTCTGGTTTCATGACCGGAATATGCATTCTGAAAAACTCCTTGCCCACTTTTATTATGTATATTTTATCAAATTATACATGTTTGATCTAAAAGTATGAAAAAGTGTTTAAAATGTTGAAAAGAATGTGAAAGTATCATAAACCTTTGTGTGACTCTACATCTGCGTAGGCTGAGCATTCGTGTGAAAGCAGCCAAAGCCTAGAAATTCTGCTTTTGACTATGGGGACTCTGTTTGGATTATAAATTATTTGAGATATTGTTACTGTAGCACTTTTTGTGATGCGATGTATGTGAGATAAAAAGATAATTGAAAAGATAAAAAAATATGTTAGAAATTATAATAATGATATAAGTAAATAAATTTTGACAAATAATCCTCTATCCAAACAAATCCAATTGTATCCTGGTCAGGAAGTCTTGGCCAGTCAGGTTAGGATAAGAATCCAAGACCCGTAATTTGGGGTCAATGAGTAAATTTTTTGTGGGGCCAAGTTTTACTCTTTTTATTTTCTTTTAAAATTTTTTTAACCCTCTCTTTCATACCGGCGTCCTTCCCACCTTAAAAATGTCAGATCCAGGATTCCAACATGAATCTAACAGCGGAAAGAATTTTAAAAGTCATCCCTAACCTCATGAAAATCTTTCAGAATTTCAGGGACAAGTAACATAAATTTTTAGACTTTGGGACGATCCGCTGCCCTTGTTTATGTCATTTGAAGTTTAAAACATAGACTATTTTAGGTTGATTGTGTATTAAAAAAAAGTTGATTATCGACATTTTTGGAAGTTTATAATTTGACTAGTGGTTTTGAAACGGAAGATCAGAACTCAAATCAATCTCCATATAAAGTCAAAATTATCCTCTTTCTACAAATCTTATGGGCACGGGATCAAAAGTTTAAAAATCAAACTCATTTTTAACAATTTTAACTCCATTTGATCTAAGATTTACACTAATAAATGCATTAACATCACCATAACAAGATTTTTTTGGTTTTGGTTTTTGGAAGGGGAGGGGGGAGGCGGAAGGTTCCTAGTATGAAGGCCCTATTTGTTCTACAAATTTCGCAAGGAAAAGGAAAAGGAAGAAAAGAAAAGTAAATTCCTTTGGAAATGTTAAATTCCTCATCTTGTTTGGTTATGCACGAAAGGTAGTAAAGAAAATGATCTTTACAAAAGTTTTTTTCTTTTTTTTGGTCCTATTTGGTTTGTGGATTTTGAAAAGGGAATCCTTTGCTTTTCTTTTTTTTTTTTCTTTTAAATGAAAATTAACTAATAAGAAGATGAATTTTGAAAAGGAGGTAGTGAGGAAAATGATCTCTGCAAAATACTTTTTCCCCTGTTTGATTTGTAGATTTTGGAAAGGAAATCCTTTGCTTCTCTTTTTCTTTTTTAATTATGAAAATTAACTAATAAGAAGACAAATTTTGAAAAGGAAATGGAAACGAAAATCTCTTCTTTTTTTTTTCTTTTCAAAAATTAAAAACTTGACAGACAATCAATTAAAATAAGTTGGCAAAATATTTTAATTTTGACGCCAAACTTCAAACTAAAATTGTTTAGATCACCTCATCCTCAACCTCAAACCTTCACTTGCAAACTTGAATGGAAACTGGAAACTAATTGCAGAGTCTATAAAAAGAATATTAATAATAATAACAGTAATAATAAAGAACAATAATATTTTGCTAAGACCATATGACACGAATTTAACAAAACGCCATGCAATTGCAAAACTGAAAAATGAAAATGAAACTTACGGTAGCAGACAAAACAAGTTTGCTTCGAATGATTTCGGGCTCACAAGTCAGACCGGCAGTTGATGAAAGCTTCTCTATCTCTTCTGCTCCTTTGTTGAATTGGTGGTAATGAAGAATGGTGAGGAATGAAGTTGGAGAAAAGGTTTGGGATCGAGTCTGTGATCAAAGAAAGTCCTTTGATGAGAAAACAAAGTCATCAGAAAACAATATGAAATTTGAATGTAATCTGAAATGATGAGAAGATAACGGAGCAATTGCGTGGGTAATAAATAGAAAGATCAGCGACAAGAAATTGTCCTTTGATGTGATTAATCCAGAATTGTGTGGGAAATATATATATTCTTGGATGTGAGAAAGAAATTAGTACCCCGCTTAAGAAAGTGAAATGCAGGGACAAAAGAGAATGGACGCTGGTTCATCCATTGAGAAATTCTCAATGATTGTACTCAACCTTTGCTTCATGACTTTGCTCCAATTATCAGTCCATTTAATTCCAAAAAAAAAAGAAAGAAATGAAAAAAAAATCAAATTCTAAAAAATTCTAAAAATCTGGAATAGTGTGGGACCTACAAATTAATTTTTCTTTTCCATTTCTTTGGTTTAATGATTTGAACTTGATATCTACTTGCAATTTAAAAAAAAAAATTATTCTAAACCAAAGTTGTCTGACAAGTTCTTCATTATGAAGATCATTATAAGAAAACACCAATAAAATCAAGTTTACAAAACATAGTAAAGAAGTTGTATACTCAGTATTGAATTAAAAAAATGTGTTAGTATGTCAAATTTATATTGTAGCTCATGTTTCTATATTCTATTTCTTATCACCCTACATATGGAAAAAAAATCTATCAATGTGAACATATCGCAAAGTTTTACTTTAAAGTACTCAATGAACAATAAGTTAATTGTAATACATGTTTAATAATGGGATATATTTGGAGACAATAAACAAAATTCTAAGAAAAAAATATGTAATATAAAGCTTTTAATATGAAATTAAATTTTGTAGATCAATTGATTTACTAATATTCTAAAAATATTTAGAGAAGTTAATATTTTCCACAAGGCAGAAAGTTTAAGTGAAGGGGAGGCAATACTATTTTTCTAAAATTCTAATTTGAGGGGTGGGGGGAGGCAAAACAATGACTGTAATAGGAAACTACCAATACTTTTTAGGGGTCAAAGGGGATTAGGCAAAGTTGGGGTTTTGGGCCCCGGGGATTGGGGGAAGCTACCCCTTCCGGCCCTAGGACTTTTGAAGATTTTTTTTGGTCCAATTAATACATAAGCATAGGATAGCATTTTGAGTCTCTGTTTAAATGAATATGAACTTTCAGACAAAAAAAAAAAAAGGAAACAAAAAAATTAGGGAAGTTTTTTTTTTCTCTCACATATTCTTTTGGCATATTTTTTATATTTTCTTTATTGATATAGATTTTTTTTATGAATTTTAAACTCAATATAAAACCTGTTAAATGAACTAAACACCAATTGAAACGTTAAAAAATGAGAGTGGTCAACACAAAACTTTTGAAGAAATTGAAAACAGAAGAGAATTGGTGAAAAATATAAGAACTACACAGTTAACAGTAACTTTTTTTTCCTCCTTTTCGTGATAATCATAATTATTAGTTTTAACTTTTTGCAATCATGTATAAGTCCAATAACAGTCATCATATCACCTGAGAAAAAACAAGTTTCTCACATGAATCGAAATTCAATTCATTCCAAGAATCAAGAGTTTGAAAACCAAAGTTGAAAGTGGATACAGATTTGCATTACATCAATTTCAACTCCAATTTATTTAAAGTTTACACTATTAAACATAACCACACCACGTTCAAGATGATTAGAACGTAGGGAAGGATTAAAGATAATCGGAAATTGGCTCATTAGTTCAAGGGTACAAAACAAAAGAGTCACCTATAATCAAGCGAATATATAGGAAAGTTTCCGTGATTTCAAAATATACAATCTAATAATTTAAACTAAAAAGGCAATGAAAATCATTAAAACTAATGTGGGTTGATGAAATGACAAAAATATCCTAATCTATATAAGGATAAAATGTAGAAAAGCTCCCTGTGATTTCAAAAAATATAATTTTCATCCCTTTCATACATAAAATAGTCGTTCTGATTTAGTTAATATCTGTATATGGGATAACATGAAGATCACAAAAAATGCTCACAATCATTCATTGCACACGTAAAATACAACAGCCCTTTAGATGGCTTTTTTGATCTCAACAATTTTTACTTTCATTTTTTCTAAACACTCACAAATCTTGTACTGGTATCATAGGGTCTAGTTCTATTGCCCACTCGAGATATTGAGAAAGATATAAGCAACTATTTTGCAAAATTTTCCTTCACTTTATACAAAGAAAAATATTGAAATTCTTACTTTAAATTCTTAAAAACAGACCCTCTAAAATAATATTATTATTGGAAAAAACCAAATTTTAAATTTTTTCAATACCTTAAAAGTAGTGTGTATAATACTAGTGGTTGATTTTTCTCAAGAAACTTTACTCCCTTTTCAATATATTTTTCTGAAAGTGTTTATGTTTTGAAATTATAGATGATTTTTTTTTTTTTTTTTATGTAGGTTGGCTTAACTATAGGATGCTTTTCTGTAAGGGATAGAATAGGTATATCAACCAAAATTGATTATAAAAAACTGTTTTCAGGTACAACGAGTTGCAAAACAAGTGCGTGTGCTTTAAACACATTAATTTTGACGATTTCCATTGATTTTTCAGTTTCGTTCGAACCATGAGATGTTGGATTATATGTTTCGAAAGCACTGGGGCTTTTCTACATGTTCGCTTAACCAGAAATGCCTTTTTTATTTTTTGTCCTTAGTTCAATATTAGTTCTTGATTTAATTGAGGTTTTCCCCTTGTAAAACTTTATCAATGATCGTAATAAATTTCCTTCTTTTGCTAAAAATAGTGGCTGTAATTACCCTATTTGACAAATTTTAACAGAAATCAATAGAATTTGCAATATTTGGTAATGAAAAAGGAATTGAAGAAAAATGAAGCTTACGGTCAAATGATATCGGGCTTAGTACTTAGTAGTCAGTCCAGTTCTGGATGAAGCTTCACTGCCTGTCGACTCCTTTTGATGTAGACTCTGTGCTCAAAGTTCGTTGTTGTCCCACAGAATATACAGAAATTCTACGAGCAAAGAAATTAGAATGTAATCTGAAAGAAGACAATGGAAACTGAGCAATACATGGACCAGAGAGCAAATGTGTGGCAAAACACTGCACTGAGCCCTTCTGATGGACCAGAGGTCTGCCAGCACTAGGCCAATATGGATATATTGTCGCGACACAACCATCCCTTAGATCAGGATTGAGTGGTGGAAAAAAAATTTGCATGATGTCTCCAATTATTGAATTAGCTGAATTGTCAAATGCACACTGTCAATGACTTTTATCAGGCAGGAAAGAATTATTGGACATAGAAAGTGTGGTAAATGAGCATTCCTGACAAATATTATTCAATGTCCAGTGCATTTCGCCATTGAAAAGAAAAGCTGAAATGAAGCGGGACATTGATTCCCTGGTGATCAAGAAAAGGACAACACAGACTGGCAAGGGACAAGAAATTGTCCTGTGAGGTGATTTCTCAAAAGCGACAGCGGGACCTATGGTACTATTTTTGGCCGAAAGTAAAATAAAGGTTGTACAACATGTTATTCTGGTTTCATGACCGGAATCTGCATTCCAAAAAACTCGTTGCACACAACCTGTTTGAAATCTGAGTTTTTTTGAGAGTTTATCTAAAACTTTACTGTAATGTACTGTAAAAGTTTTTGGAACAATTTTGTAGAAGTTTTTGTAAGGTGAAAAACTTTTTTGTAAAAATTTTTGGAATGTGAAAAATTTTGTAGAAGTTTTTATAAGATGAAAAACTTTTTTTTTCCTTTTGTTTTTTTTCTTTCTTTTTATCTTTTTCTTTCCTTTTCTTTTTCTCTTTTTTTTTTTTCCTTTTCTTTTCTTTCCTCTCCTCTTCTTCTTCTTCTTCCTTCCCCCTCCCCCTTCCCCGTTACCTCTCCTCTGCCTCCCACCTCCAGCCCCTCCGCCAGCACCACCCCCTGTTCTTCTTTTTTTTTTTTTTTGCTTTTCTCCTCTCCCCCCTCCCTCTCCCTCCCCCGCCACCCCTTTCCTCCCCTCTCCCCCGCCACCCCCAAACTGTTCCACCATTCTTTTCCTCTCCCTTCTGCCCGCCACCCCTCTCTCTCCCTCCCCCGCCACCCCCTCTGCCCACTCTCCCCCTTTCCTCCCTTCTCCCCTCTCCCTCTCCTCTCCCCTCCCTCTCGCACTCCGACACCCGAGGAAGGCGGGCAACTGTGCATTATTATTATTTTTTTTTTGCTTTTTCACTCCCTCCCTCCCCTCCCCTCCCCTCTTCCCCTCTCCCTCCTCCGCCACCCTCCCCCTCTTTGCTCTGCGATCTAGTCGTGCGACCAGATCGCACCTAGCAGAAGAGGGGGAGGGTGGCGGGGGAGGGACTCAAAATTTTTTTTGAGGTTATCGGCGCCGGGAGAGGTGGTGGAGGTGGTGGCTGGTGTGGTGGGTTGGGTGAGGGTGGAAGAAAAGTTTTTGGGAAATTTTTTGTGTATGGATTTTTGAAGTGTGTAGGTAAAAAAAACTTTTTGTGTATAAATTTTTTTGGGATTCCTGTAGTAAAAATTGTTAAAAAACTAGTAGCTAAAAAACTTGTTAAAAAACTAGGGTGCCAAACAAGCCTGTAACGTATTCTGACTATCTTAGGTTGATTATGTAATTTAAAAAAGGTTGATTATGGAATATGGCATCACATTTCTTAAAGCTTATAATCTGACCAGTGGTCTGGAAATGGAAGGACTTTATAGTTTTAGAGCTCAAATCAATCTCCATATAAACTCAAAATTATCCTCTTTCTAAAAATCGTATGGGCATGAGATCAAGAGTTTGAAAATTAAACTCATTTCATCAATTTCAACTCCAGTTGATTCAGGATTTATACTTTAACATAACCATAGCATGACCTTAAGAGGGAAAGGGTGGGGGAGGAGATTCCTAGCAATAAGGCCCTATTTGTTCTCCGAATTTAGCAAGGAAAAGGAAATCAAAGAGAAGAAAAGTAAATTACTTTGGAAATGTTAAATCCCTCATCTTGTCTGGTTATGAACAAAAGTAGTCAGGAAAATGATCTCTACAAAAAAAAAAAAAAAAAAAATTCTGTTTGATTTGTGGATTTTGAAAACGAAATCCTTGCTTTTCTTTTTCCTTTTTATGAAAATTAACTAATAAGAAGACAAATTTTGAAAAAGGAAATGGAAACGAAAATCTCTTTTTTTTTTTTTTCCTTTCTAAAAATAAAAAACTTAACAGACAATCAATTAAAATAAGTTGGCAAAATATTTTAAATTTGATGCCAAACTTTGAACTAAAACTGTTTAGATCGCCTCATTCTCAACCTCAAACCTTCACTTGCAAACTTGAATGGAAACTGGAAAATAATTGCAGAGCCTATAAAAGAATATTAGTAATAATTACAGTAATAATAAAGAACAATAATTAATTTTGCTAAGACCATATGAAACGAATTTAACAAAATGCCAAGCAGTTGCAAAAATTGAAAATTAAAAATGCAGTGAAGTCGAAGCGAAATGAAACTTACGGTAGCAGACAAAACAAGTTTGCTTGAAATGGTTTCGGGCTCTCTATATCTTCTGCTCCTTCGGTGAATTGGTGGGCTCTGTATCTCTTCTTTCAGTCCAGAGGGTGAATTGGTGAAATGAGAAACGGTGACGAGTGAAGTTGGAGAAAAGAGGTTTGGAAATAAGAAGATGTTTACCAAGTCATCAGAAAACAATATATGAAACTGGAATGTAGTCTGAAACGATGAGAAGATAATGCGTGAGTGATAACCAACGAATAAATAGATGGACCAGCGACTAGAAATTGTCCTTTGATGCGAATAATCTAAAAGAGTATGGGACCTACAGCAATTATTATTATTATTATTATTATTATTATTTGGTGCAAGGGAAATGCATTCAAATAATTCTAAATTAATGACTGCATAGCAATTAACTACAGTCCAAATCCCATAAATATGTTTCTTTCCGATCTTTGTAATATTGAAATAGTAACATTTAATATGGCTATACGAGCTTAAAATAAAATTAGAATTGGTTATATTTCCTACCCTACCGTCTTTAGCTTCAAGTTTTGTATAGAGGGGAAACATATTACTTTGCTATATATTAATTTGAGGAGTTAACTAATCTACAAAAGCATGGAGATCTAGCGAAACTTACTGACCAATTAATTAAGCAATGCTTTTCTTTCTTTTTTTTGGAAAAAAAAATGACACAGGGAGTTTCCAAGAATAATTTGAAGAATTAATATGTAATTTACACGATTTGAAAAGCCAGTTCAAAGGACAAAACTGAACAGAGGGATTTTGAAGGCAACAACCTTACGAGAAACGAGAGGGCGAATGCGGTCTCAGCGAGGACGACCTTGACCCGTCCAGCGTCCCGGAAACTGCAAAGAAAAGACAATAATGAGATCAAGAACAGTTAACCAAGACATTTTGTATCAATGAGATTTTTTCTTCATTTTTACTTTTCCACCCTTGCTCGCATCCTTTCCACCTCCTCGTGTCACGTCTACTATTCAAATCTTGAATCTTTATAATGGACAGAACTCTAAAAGTCTTCCACTAGCTATTGGATCAACCACAGTAGTTAGAGATTGTTCATTATCCCACAAAAAAAAAAGAGCCTCATTTGTGGGATAATTTTATTATTATTACTACTTGCACAAATTTGCCCACTTTGAGTCCCTCTTTAAATTGAAAATTAACTTGAAAAAGAAAAAAAAAAAAGGCAAATGAAGAGCGAATGTCCTCCTTTAATTCCTTCTTTATATTTCACTTTGCAACAATTTCTTGCGTTGCGAAAAGTCTCCCCATAATTCTACTAACTTGTTTTAATCACATCAAATTGGATGATCGATTTTTATTGTTTGTCAATATATTATTGATTGCAAATAGGCTGTCACTAGTAGCCAATATGGATATTGTCGCGAGACAACCGTTAGATCAAGATCGAGGAGGGGAAAAAATGCATGACGTCCAATTATCGAGTTACTTCCATTGTCAAATGTACAGTATATATAACTTTTCTCAGGCAAGAATTATTGGACGCAGAAAGTGCCGTAAACGAGCATTCCTGACAACGATGATTCAATTTCCAGTGCATTTCCCATTGAATAGAGAAGATAAAATGAAGCAAGCAACTTGATGGAAAGATAGACTTGGTAGACGAATTTTTCAAACCAATCAAAGCAAAGGAAAACAAACAAACAAAAACAAACAACAAAGAAGAAGAAAAGAAGAAAGAGAAAATTAATGGTGCTTGGTAAGGAAATTAATCGATATTGATTCGATTTGGTGGCTCGTGGAGGGAACGCGGTTAACTATAGCCCTCTTTCAAGAAACGGAAAGGAAAGTCGCTCTATTTACTTTGGGGGAAGTGAAATGAAGGTTGTATAACTAACATGTTATTCTGGTTTTATGACGGAAATGATATGTGTGTGCGTTCCGAAAACTCCTTGCACAATTTTATTTGTACTTTGTCAAATTATACATGTTTGAACTAAAAGTATCAAAGAGTGCTTAAAATGTTGAAAAAAAATGTGAAAGTATCACAAACCTTTGTAGACTCTCCAGTCTCCATTTGCATAGCTGAGCATTTGTGTGAAAGCAGCCAAAGACTAGAAATTCTGCTTTTGTCTGAATATGGAGACTTTTGTGTAAAAGCAGGGAGTCTTGTAAAAGCAGCCAAAGTGTTGCTGAACCCTGATCAGGAAGTCTTGGCCGGTGGGGTAGGATAAGAATCCAAGACAACCAACGACCTCACTGATCTTATGGCTATGGATAAGAATGGAAGACTTCGATAAAGATTTTAGTTTTCAAGTAAAGAAACTATCAAAACAAGCATCTCTCCATCAACAACAGAACAAAAGAAAGTATACTTTGCTGAAGTGTAGAAGAGTTTCCTGGCAATTTGGCTGAACAGAGATGGCCAAGTTGAGATTGGTCCGAGTATTAATCGTCCTACTAGTACTCATGCTATGCAAGGGTATGACTTTAGATTTTTTATACCACTAGTAATAGTTCACTAGCTTTGCACGTGATGGTAATATTTTAAAATATATTATTATTCTTTAGATACTAGAAATTTTTTATGAAATTTTGATCATCAACATCATAATATAGTATTTTTATGTTATTTATTTTTTTAAGCTAGTTGCTTTTAAAAATTTTATTAAATGAAAAAAGACAGAAAACATTCCAATGCAGTTGACATATCCCTTAGAATTAAATTTGGAATCATGAACTAAACACTTTTTGATTTATAGCTTGAACTCTAACATATCAAATGTTGATAGTATCATGTTTTACCAAAATTATTGTATATTCATGATTCTATTGCATATAAACTACAATCATTACAATTTTTTATAAATGAAAAATATAATTAAGTTAGAAAAATAAACATATATGTAAATTGAATTCTTTGTATTATGTTAATTCTATTTTTGTCAATAATGGAGTACAAATTATCCACCACATAAAGTTTTTTTTGTTTGTATATCCTGACAATTGAAATTTTATAGATAGAGATAGTTGGTGTTTTTCTATTTTCCTTTTTTTATTCATATTTTTAGCACAATCCAATGTGAAGCAAAAGCAACAAGTTTACTTTTTTCATATGAGCACAATATTTTTTATTTTGGTACTAGTTTTTTTTTAATGATCATGGAATTGGAATGAGAATTGTGGCTAATTAACAATTTTAATATTAATTTTTTGTATATTGTAGTGTTTTATTTTTTAATTGCCAACTTTTAATCCATAACCGCTATCATTATTATCAATTACCGGAATACACTAAATCTGTCTAATTACAATGTCACCATAAATGAAATTTACTTAATTTTAAATATTTTCATTTCATAACCGCTTCCATTATTCACTAACATTGCAATACAATAAATATATGTAATCATTAGAAAAATAAGAGTATTTTGGGTCACAAAAAATAATTTGGATATCATTTTCATTTTATCATTCTTCATTTTAAGTTTACTCTTATTATAATTCTTATTTTATCATTGGAGATGGTTTGATGGATGGATTTGGTTTGTTCAAACCAATACAAATAAAGCATTACTATATGTGGTTTGCCTTCCCCTAGATTAATAACAATGTTTGTCTTCCCCAAGATATCATTGATTTGGATGTTGTCTGTGACATTGTTTGAATTGTATTCTAACTTTTTAATTCATTAGCTATTTGCTATATGTCATTTTATAAATAGTTTTCAATTTTTTTCAGTTCTTCTTGTTTTGATTGATTGCTATTAATTATAATAGTGATTTGTATAGTGCTATTTTAGATTTTTTTTTTTTTAGTTTAATGCTACTATTTTAGTTATAAAGGTGTCATCATTTTTTGCATATTGAAATTTCATTGGGTGCAACATGAAAAATTCTTCATATTGATAAAAAGTACATAATTGTAAAATTTGCTCATGATATTTGTATGAAAATATACAGATGAATAAGGATTCTCTTCTCCTTGTATGTTTCCCCATTTTCTAGAGAATATCTATTTTTGACATTGATTTTTTTTTTTAACAATCTCAACTAATGACTAATGAGAAATTTTTCATACTTCAATTAAGAAATTTTGATACGTATAATAATTGGAGATGGAATCCAAGAATAGGTAAATAGTTTTTAATAAGCAATTTTTAATTATAATTACCAATACCATTAAGATGTAATCAATTGGAGCGTTTTATTTCTTTTAATTAGCGCCACATTAAAATGCAATAATTCTAATTAAAAGATATGGGGGTAATTTACAGATAGCAAAAACTAAGACAAAAAAGTGATTGCACAGTTTGCACTTACACTCCCTAATACCATGATTCATACTTTTTATGTAATAACGATGATTTACACTCCCAATTCATGAGAAATTGTTGTAAAAGTATTTACGCGGAAGAAAATGATGCTTATGAGAATTCATTACTATTAATTTAATATAATAAATAATAGGAGGCAACTTTATGCTAAAAAAGAAAAAAACAGAAGTATATGCTTTAGGTCAACATATATCTATGTCTGCTGACAAAGCACGAAGAGTCATTGATCAAATTCGTGGACGTTCCTACGAAGAAACACTTATAATACTAGAGCAGTACCAGACACGAGATAGATCTTCCAAAGAACAAGGCCCTTTTCGAATAAGTCAATTCATTTGGGACCCTGAGGAAGCGTGTTCTTAGCTATGATGGTGATCCAAATTGAATTCATCAAAACTTTCTTTCTATCGAGAAATACCAACTTCTCTTAGTCAATGAAAAAACACCACCTTCTAAGGATAAACTATGAACGCATCATCTATCTAAAGGTATGACCGTCTTTTCACACCTCTCACATACAAAAAAAATGTATTCAATCTACTTTTTTTTTTTTTTCTCTAAAGCTTGTATCATTCATAACCAAATCTTTTACATCAGTTTACCAAGCATAATAAGCTAGATACGAACTGTATCTTCATCTGTGACTTAGGCTTCGATCAATTCACAATAACTATGCAGCCATCTATTGTAACAAGGTTCAAGAGCTCTGCCCTTTACTTATTTCATCGTATGAGAATCAATCAATGCTCTTTCAACCAGTGTTATATACTTTGTCATAGCGGCTAAGCATCGCCCAGCCTCGACTGATGTTAGAAAATGCTTCTATACCTGACACACATACTTGAAGCACACCTTCGATCATTTGTGTGCAAGGAGCGATAAGTATAATTTTTTATTAAATCTCTTCAAATAAAAGGTGTATCTAAAACAATCACTTACCTATTACTGTTTATTGACTCATGGGGTTTGGATAAAGAACGAGTCATTTTGGGCTGGTGGGATGTAAATCTATCACTTAGATATAGGAACAAATTTTTTTTTTTTTTTTTTTTTTTTTTGTGTCGACACAGGGGTGTCCGGGTCAAGACCCGAAGGCGGCCCGACTAATCCCCTGCGGCCCGGGAGGAGAGGCCCCATCCCCCCGAACACGGTAACCCTGCACGACTCGAACCCCTGGCAAGCGCTCCTAAGGAGGCGTACGCTGCCAGATGAGCTGCCCAGGAGGGGTAGGAACTATTAGACGAATTAAAATTGACTTATGTAACGACGCAAGTACTTGATCATACAATTGAACGTCCGATGTGTTCAATTAAATTTCTCCAAAAATGCTAACTCATACAGCTCCAAACGTCTATACAGAATATATTTGCAGTTGATTACGGTTTTCACCTTCACTTTCACTCAGCTCGGTGTCTTTATCCATGTTTGGTAGTTATTTGTCTAACAAAAGCAATCCAGTCACCACCACTCGATTAAATGGGGTTTAAACTTGATTGCATCCATACTGTTGTGGATTTGGGGTCACAGAGTTCGAAATCTCAAATTAGATAATATTTTGGTTCTAAATGTATGACATTAGGATGAAGAAATGATGGTAACATTATCATTTGCAGATTAAGGACCAGATTGACAAAAGGGGGACTGGGCTTCTCTCCATTACTCATCCCGTCCAATTTCCCACAATTCACTCTTGGATGAATTCATGTCAAACAATTGCAGGCTGAATTTTGAAGAGGTTTGAGAGTTGCTGCAAATATTCTTAATCAGGACAGACATGCATCGTAAAGAAATTCACGAAGTAATTTGTTTTGACGTGTCAAGACATCATGCTTCAGAAAGAGAACAGTCATTTGACAAGCATCCGCACCATAAGATTAATATGAAACTATAAGTCAAACAAATGCAGTAAAGCTAGTCTCCAGACGTACTTCTGAACTTGCGTCCTTGAAGCCACCGAAAGAAGGTACAATTCCTGTTGCTCTTTAAGAAGCAGATTGCATTAATGTTCAGCCGGGAACTACACAAATCCAAGAGGCCGAGCAGACTGCATGGGGCAAAGTATGAACTGGATAAAGTGTATCTGCAATTTCAGAAATCGAGTTAACATAGTTCCACTTGGCTGAGTATGCAAGGAAGAACAAGCTCCAGTGTTGATGAACATATTTTTTTGCTAGTTCTAAAGAATTAAGAAAGCGTGACAGTAAAGAATCAAGTAAAAATGATATCACTACTCCGTAAAAAATGGCATTTTGAAGGCAGTAATTTACTCCCTATTTGAGTGCAGGGATCCTTTCTTTTTGCTCCCAATCAAATACAGAGGAGGTACTGATACATATATTAGATGTCCACCGGCTGCTTTAGCTTTTAACCAAACAAATTTATTCAAAATAAAAGTTGTTCCTAATCAATATCCACACATTCCTCAAGAAAAATTCCAACTCCACATCGTTGCCAAAATCAGAAACCTATCAAAACATGAGTTTACAGCTCCGGATCACTTCCTCAGAGCCATCCCATTAGTTGCACAAAGGGCAATCGTGAAATTCAAAGCATGAGAATCAAGCAACATTTTCACTTTTAAATATCGCATGAGTCTTAATTTTTGTTTTGCATTTCCACTGTCTGTTTATTGGTAGCCCTTTAACACTAGTTTCCTTTTATTAGTGAATGTGATAGTGATGATTTGAAGCTTTTCCGTGACAAATGTAGGTGCAATCATGTTAACACTTCCCAAATTCACTTTAGAGATGTGATTGAATCCGCCACATGCTAGGAGTATACAAAATTGAAATTGAAATAAAATAAGAAATGAAGAGGAAATTATACAATGCACCCCCTATTGTTCATTGCATAGATTGAGGAAAACTTTTCTGTGGTCCCATCTAAAATGTGACTACGGATGAATGAAGCGAAAAGGAAGAAGAATGTCATCTCAGAAACTCAAAAATTCGTCAATTTGCATGCAAGACAGGAAAGGAAGTATAATGTGGCTTGCCCTCTTCTCTTTCAATGAAATTGATGCAGTAGGCAGATCAGATATTTTGCAAGGTTAGCCATAAAGAAGGAGAAAAATCCTGAAAGAGATACAAGAAGCTGAGAAGATTTTCAGCTAGAAGCTGGGATCGTATGCACGGTATATGATGGCTCTGTGACTTGAGGCAGTGGAGGGTTCCAAGAATATGAATCTGATGGTAAAAGACACCCTTACGTCCCTGAGGTCAGGCTCAAGCAACTGATAAACAAGATTCAACCATCAGCAGTTTACATCAGCAGCCTTGGGTCATTCATTTTCCTCCCTTGCTCCCATTGTATAGTGATTTTGCAAAACAACAGCCGATATTGTTGTAGTGACCCTTCTTCATTTGTACCACTAATTTTGCATTCCCTAGGCAAGGAGAGAATCTACAGTATCCACTATCAAAACAGAGTATCGTTGCACTCTGGAGGCAACCCCAGCATAAAAGCTCAGTTACAGAACGCTGCCACATTTCAGAACATTCAGGTGTGAGGAGGGATTGGATCTGTCCAGGCAGCAATCAAGCTCCCAGCAATATGTAATCTGAAAAGAAACATCAATTGATCGTAGTCCCAGCTCTACTAAGCCTTATCAAATAAAATAATGATTTGCCTTTCGAATTTTTGTCTATTTCCTGTTCAGAAAGCGGGAACAAGGCAGGAATGGAAACTAATGGCTCAAACCCCACTTACTGGTCAAGAAATGCTCTCTGAGTACCAGTTCTTTATCGAAGAAAAGTGCTTAAATTACAGAAATTCGTTTCAATTTATCAAAAGTCCACAAGGATATATGAAAATATTTACAATGAGCACAAAGTGCAACATACCTAGAATATCTTGTTGCATGGGGTAAATTCAAAAATATCAATAGGAATGGAGCACTGCACTAAAGATGGATTATGTAGCAAATTCATAACTATACAATCTAGACCAGTGATCAAATGCAGTCAATTGTACTACCTGCGAAAAAGCATACAAGAGGAAAAGATATCAAACACCACTTCAAATAATTGTCCTTTTCTTTTCCAGAAAAAATGATTATTGAAAATGTTTTTCTTCCTTTCTGTTTCTCATTGCCAAGGGCTAAGCTAAGTGACCTAAAGTTTTATGTTTTGGGACTCTCAAGTAACTATGATCAGAATTGTTGATTTTTAGTGTCAAAATGTGCTTACCCAACATTTATACCCTCTTTGTCTACAAGGAGCTTGCAAAGTTAAAGATTTACACAGCACTCAGACAAACAGAATGTGTAGATAAGAAAGAAATTACTGTCTAAATTTGAATGGCTCTTTGATTGGCTTTTTCAAAACTGACAAAGGGCTACGACAGCAGGACCTTATTTCTTTCTATGTGTTCCTCATTGCTATGGACATGTTCTCTGTAACCTTTTCTCTGGAACATAACTCATGCTGATTTTGATTTTCATCCAAGGTTTCAGGAGCTGAGGTTGTCACACTTACTTTTTCTGATGATCTTGTTCCTATCTCCACTGCAACAACTAAATCCTTTCGAGGTAATGAAGAAGACGATCAATGAGTGGCTTACTTTCTGATCGTAAGCTAAATTTGCAAAATTGTCAACTATTCTTGCTGGAATGGAAGAGGACAGTGCTGAGAAGTTGTGTTACATGTTGCAAATCTCTAGAGGTTCACTTACCTGTCAAGTACCTGGGTTTGCCCATAATCAGTACTAGCAGGTATTAGTCTTACAAAGATTGTCAACCAATCTTTATCAAATTGGAGCGAAAAATTAAAGGTCAGGCTGGAAAAAAACCTTAGCTATGGGTGTAGATTGCAATTGATAAAATCCGTATTTACTGGTATACAGTTACACTAGTGCAGTGTGCTTATCCTGAATCAATTGTCCATAAAATAAGCAGCATGTTGGCTTCCTTTTTTTAGGCAGCTGTAGAAGTTAAGACCGTGTACGAGACTAAAGTGTGTTGAAATGAGATATGTGCACTTAAGAAAGAAGGTGGTCTTGGGGTGTTCAACCTTGAACTGTGGAATAAATGTCTAGTTTTAAAATTGATTTGGAATGTCTGCAGCGAGAGGGATACATTATGGGTGTCATGTTCATAATATTCTGCTGAAGGATCAGTCATTTTTTGGGAGTGAAGATTCATGTTGCTCAATCAATCTTTTTGAAGAATCAGTTTTTTGAAGAAAGCTTTTAGAACTAAGAAGTATTGCTCAATCACTTATTGATCAAGTTGTTGGCAATGGCAGGAGTACTGGTTTTTGGTTTGATACTTGGCATCAACTGGGACCCCTATACAAATATTTTACTGAGAATATGTTGCACAGTTTTTGCTGTAAATCCACCTGCTCAGGTTGCAGAAGTTATTGATGGAGTGAATTGGAGATAGACAATAGGTTGAAAATATGCGGTTAGAGAATAAGAGATGCCACTCCTGATTTGCTAGTGCCATTGATGGATCATACAGATCAGACAGTAGGATGTCCATCCTTCAGGAGTTTTCATTGCGGAGTCAGCTATGCAAGCATTACAGACTCCAGGAAATTCTGTGATTTGGACAAAGTTGGTTTGGGAGCCAGGGTGTCTTCATACTGTAGCTTCTTGGTTAGAGGAACTTTTTCACAATGGACAGACTGAGGAATGGGTGGGTTGAATTGACTTCGTGTTTGTTCTGCAGAAGGAGGAGAGTATGGAACATTTTTTTTAATTTTTTATTGAGTGCTGTCTGACTAGGATAGTTTGGCATCAAGTTCAGCAGATGTGTACGACATACAGAGGGGATTGTTCATGGCATGAGGAGTTTGCGTGTCTTGCTGCTCACTGGTCTTCTAAGTCCATCTCTTATCAATTAAAGAGACTTTGTCTAGCTGCAACTGTGTGCTACATCTGGAAGTTTAGGAATTTTGTGATCTTCCAGTCAGGTCAAGCATCTGCTAGTGGAATTGTTGGAACTATTATTGAGGCAATGAGAAATTCTACTAGCTCATGGGCAGGTTTCAGCAAACTAAAGAGAATTGGCAGTTGGTGTCACATGGGGTTTATCTATGAGTCGCCTGGACTATATTTCTATTGCAAGGGAAAACTGTACAATGGTGGTAGCCCAGAAAGCATCTAAATAAAATAGGTGTAATAGGTATGGAGCATTTAATGTGGAGAAATCTTAGGATGCAGTTGCATAATGATGCAGAATGGGATTAAGGAAATTCAGGAGTTAACAGAAAAAAAATCACTATAATGATATCATGAACAACAAATATTCATATACAAGGGAGCATAACAGTTCCCTAATTGGAGTTAAATAGAAGTTGTGAATTATTTGCATTACATTGTTAGGTGAAGTGTTCAAAAAATTTCAAAAGTTCCCCTAACTGTGGCATAGAGAAAGCACATGTCTAAATGTCAAGGAAACATACTGAAATTGGAAGGAACTTAGTATGCCAAAAACTGAAAGTGCACGACTGATCACAGGATAAGTTTACGTTCGAAAATCCTTGAATTATCAGCTACATTGTTCCCATGTTCTTCTTTTCCAGCAATTATTAGTTCTTAGTTTCTATCATAAAGAGGGAGGTCGCTGGTGTCCATATTCTGCAATGGCTAAAGATGAGGGCAATGATGGTCCTTAGACTACTAAGAAAGGTGTATCACCAAGACTAGGAGAAAGCAATCCTTCTCCAGGCAGATAGATCAAATTATAAATTTATAACAAGATTAGAGCACCTTAAAATTGCTGGTTAGAAGATGCAAATTGTGTTTTATCATAATTTATAGAAGAAATATAGGATTGTGAAACAAGCACATTAACAAGTCCACCAGAAGGACCTCAGAGTTTCAAACATAAACTATTAAGCGCATTACATAAATTATGGAAGACACTTAGCAAGTTCAAGAACAGTCTGATTATTGTAGATACCTTACAGAGTAAGAAGTTTTTTTTTTCTCCATCAGCATTTACCAATTGAGGAAAGCCTTGGTCTGCCTGAGTTGGTCGCATTACTTGATCAGAATCTACAGCGCAGAAATGAACCAAAAGCATATTTTGAGAAAAAAAAAATGAAGTGAAAAAGTTCTCCTAGAAGAAAATAGAAGATTAAGGCATAGTGTTACAGTAACAAATCTAAATTAAGGAATATATTATGATCTTACCTACCTTGGCCGAGATTGTTGCAGCAGCGATAACCTCCACCTTCAAAACACACTAGCTATTCACAACTGGCTATTCCTATTGCAATCATAAAAAGAGATGCAATAGTTAGTTTTGATTTTGCCTTCTGAGGCTTCAGAGGATACTGCTAGAATGGAAATCTGACGACAAGTGATAAACAAGAAGTACCTTTAATTACGTAAAAAGATGATGATGATGATAAGGGTCTTGTAACATTGGGAGGCAAGCCCTTACCAGTACCCAGGGTCATCATCAAGGAACTAGCTCCAAATCGACTATTATGCATGGGATGCGGGCAACCTTGGGCCAGTCTTGTCCTTTCTTCCATCTTAACCTTGGTTTCAATAGTGGGCATTTCTCGATTTCTAGTGTGGTGAGTGAGGCAGGCAGTCCCTCTTCCGGTAGGGATTGGAGCCGAGTACAGTTTCTGATATATAGTGTCTGAAGGGAGCAAAGGTGTCGAAGACCAGAATAGCTTAGCTTTTTCAGATTCTTATGGGCCCATAATTGGAGAGATTGAAGTGTGCAAGGCAGTAGCCAATCCTCCTCTGGAAATGACTCTACTTCATCATCGATACCACCAATTCTGAATTGCGTGAGGGAGGGCAGTTTCGCTACACCCCACTCTCTCCGGCGACTTATGAGCTTTTTGCAAGTGGAGATGTCAAGGCATTGTAGGCTAGAGGGCAAACCTCCTTCCGGTAAGCATTCGATATTTGGACAACAGCTTATAAACAGATGCCGAAGAGATGGGAAGAGGGAATCCATCTGTTGCGGCAAGAACTTGAGCTTCTTGCAATTCCAGAGATGAAGCTGCGTTAGCTTGGGAGCTGCTGGCAACCTGCCCTCAGGGAAAGAAATTAGATCAACCAAGCCGGAGATGGATAAGGTTTGCAGTGACGTCATCACACTAGTAGCAGCACCACTATTTTGGCTCCCAATCCCAGTACTTTTGCAGTTCAAAATTTCAAGGCTTTTTAGCATAGGAAACCGGCCAAGGCACACAACTTTGTGAGAATCATAATTAACTAATGTCAAATCCTCCAGTTGCCAGTTTTCACTCTCGACTTCCAAGTTGCAACAACCTTCATAATTAAGTACTTTAAGTGAGGAAGGTAGGTAACTCGGGAGAAAGGGTAAGAGAGACCCACAGTCAACTATGCTCAATCTCTGAAGCTTGACTAACTGGTTGAGCTCTAGGCACAACCCTTTCAAACTCTTTAGATTTGAAATCTTCAGATCACAAAGAGATGTGAATTGTTGAATGTTGTTTCCATTGAAGATACTTAATTGACCATTGGGAAGAACAAGACTGTCGCACCTGGATATCTCAAGAATTCGTAGTGATGAACATTGTTGGGGGAGTTCTCCAATTAGTTTGGGGCAATCAATTATATAGAGTTCTTCAAGGTTATTGAAGACTTCATATTTTGGTATGTGCCATTTCTCCAACTCTGGCATCTTCTCAATTCCCAACTTTTTCAAAGATGTGAACGCCATAGTTGCCCTAGTGTCTCCATAAAAATCCTCTGTTAAAGCTGATATGCAACTCATTCCAACAATTTCAAGTGATTGCAAAGATCTTAGCTGCCCAAGTGCAGGCAAGAATAAGCAATATTCACAACTAGATAGACTCAAGGATTTCAAATTGGTTAGTGAAGGGCTGCCTATCCAATTTGGAAATGTTGTCCCACAATATCCTTCGATCTTGAGAAGTTTTATGCTTGAATGAGGTTCTAAATTATCAAGCACGTCTTTCGCAACTTGCGAATCATTGGTATCACCATTCCATTTCAAAGCTAACTTGTCAAGGTGTTTCTTACCCTTTAGGTTCACCATTGATGCATCCCTACCACAAGAAACATTTTCTAGATTTGAAATGAAGAGCCCACCACGAAGCTTACGAAATTTGCCCAACTCCTCGATCATTGAACCACTACTCTTGCCTACTATAAACTTAGTCAAGACTTGAAGGTTTCTGAGTCTACCCATGTGTAGTGGCATTGTCTTCAATGGAGTTCCACTTATATCGAGGTAAGACAAATTAATTAACTTTGCCAAATTTACTGGCAACTCTTGAAGTTTCTTACAATTTGTCAACAGCAAGGTTTGTAGGTTATAGAAGGTGCATATCCATTCTGGTAGGGTATTCACGTTTGTGGAAGAGAGATTCAAAAAACGTAGGTGTTTCAAATGACTAATTGAGTCGGGCAACTTAATGATATGATAGCCCAACAAAGACAGAACCCTTAAGGACTTGAATTTGGGCAACATTCCATGTAAAAATTTGGGGCTTACTTCATATTTCTGGTTTGAATTTTTACTAATACTTAATGATAAAAATGTTCTCAAGTTCTTAGTCTCCCTCAACAGTTCAAATTTATGATAGGTGTCATAAGAACTAGGATGGTAAGAAAAGTTACTTATTCTACCTGTTGTACCATGCCCTAGGTGATGATCCTCCAGCCTGAGACAATATTTTCCAGAAACAAATCTAGCCAAATCGTTGACAAGGTCATGCATTATGAAAAAGTTGGCAGTTGACTGCTCAAACAATGACCTCAATCTCATCTCACGTAAGTACTCTTCACCTATTTCTTCAATTCCTCTATTACCTCTAGGGTGCTCCAAAAGATCATGAGCTTGCCATAATTGAATTATTTCCTCTTTCTCAAACTGGTAATCCTTATGAAATATGGCACAAAAGGCAAAGCACCTTTTTAGATGTGAAGGAAGATGATTATAGCTTAATCTCAATGCTGGCAAGATGCCATCGTGATTGTCTGTTTGACTCCACACTTCACTTACTAAAATATCTTTCCACTCTTCAGCAGTTGTTTCCGAACGCAAGAGACCTGCAACTGTTTTCACGGCCAAAGGTAATCCTCCACACTTCTTCACAATTTTCTTACCTATCTGTTCGAGTTCTGAGCTTTGATTTCCATCTATATTTTCAAATGCGTGCTTTTTAAACAATGACCAAGAATCTCCCTCTTTCATCAAATCCAGATGATAAATTGACTCTTTTTTACACATCATTAGTGCAATTTTCTCATCACGTGTAGTTACAATGATTTTACTCCCTTGCAATCCACCTTTGAAAAGCACCTTCAATTTATCCCAGTCACTGTAGTCCCGATTCCAAAAATCATCTAAAACGAGAAGAAACTTTTTCTGAGTTAGCCCCAATTGTAACTTCATTTGAAGGGAATTCAAATTCTCGCTCATATCAGAAAATGGAATACCGAGCTCCCCAAGAAGTTCTTTTGTTATCCTGGTAGCATCGTAATCTTCTGATACGCAAACCCATGCTTTTATAGAAAAATGGTCTTGCACCCACTTATCATTATAAACCAATTGAGCAAGAGTGGTCTTACCAATTCCCCCAAGGCCAACCAATGGAATCACAGTGACATTGACTCTATTTACACTCTCAGATAGTAGCACTTCAATTATCTTCTCTTTATCAACTTCTCGACCATACACAGTGGTCTCATCAACCAAAGAAGTGGAAGGCAGTCGTCGACATGATTGAATTTTTTGTTCAACAACTTGCAGACCCAGGGGATTAATTTGTTGTACGAACCAATCTAGTTTGAAAACCATTTTTTCTATCTCTGGCATCATCTTCTTAAGGAAATCATTACTGGAAGATTTGCTGTAAGTGGAAACACTTACCTGACTAGCTGAGCTTTGGTGTTCGGCTTCAACCTCTAGTCGTAGTGCCTCAGTGTTGATCTCATCAAGTAATTCATCTGCCTGGTAAATGGTATCATGAAGCTCATCTAGCCATCCTTTGACAGATTGGTTCCTAGTTTGCTTGTTCTCTGCATCATCAAGCACAGCTCCAAGTACTAGTAAGTTCAGCTTGAGTTTCTGGAGGAGTTCTTCTTCATTCTTTCTTTTTTGAAACAGACTCACGAACTCTTTTGTAGCCATCCTATCAAATACAACTTGAAGGAAAGCCGACAGGACAGAACTTCCCACAGCTAAAGCAACAGCCATATCTCCTAGGCACAGGTCAGGAAAGAAAAAAGCTTGTAGCCTCAAACAAGAAAGAAAGAACAGCCCCACAAATAATGTAGGCTTCTTAATGGAGTTGGAGGCTTAACCTTGTGACCTCAGAATGGATAGAACACACAAGTACCTTGAAGATACAAATTGAAATAGTTGAAAAGTAATGAGTGAGAGAAGTAGATTTAACAAAAAGAAACTATTACAGCAGGAAAAGTTTAGCTGGCTTAGTTTGCACTTCGTGCGAAGTTTCTACTTGCACAATTTTGACTGAATGTGGGCTGAACTAATACAAATTAAAGGTTATGGACTGTTGACTAACTAATAAATGTTTTAGAGATGCTAAATGAAGTTAAAAAAATTAAGTTAATGCATATATATACACTCAAAAGGATACCTAAATGAATTCACTGTCATTGGTATTTTAGCTCATTGGCACGGGACCTTTTTTCTTTTTGTTTGATTAGTTGTATATCTGTGCAAGGCAAGTATAATTTCAGATAAGAATATCAACAATGCTCTTGCACATCTGTTTAGAAAAATTCGTATATTCTAAATGTTCAAATACTATGCAGATTCTGAAAAAAAATTTTATAATCCGTTTATTTTGATGTGGTAGTATTGACTGACTACTGCAATACACACAAACAATTGACCTTTTTTTTTGAGATAGTAATTTAACTTGTGCAATGCTTATACATATAGAACAATACAAAGCTACATATTCATTTTCATTTAAATGCAAAAAAATACATTGATCCATTTTCTTATGAGCAAATATTTATTTTTTAGCAAAGTCAATAAATTCAAACGTAATGATTAAACCCTGGTAAGTAAAGTCATTCAATACATATATTGAAAAAGTTCAAATTTATTTAAGAGATAAAAGTCTAAGAGAGAGAGAGAGTACAGAAGGCATGGATACAGAGATAGATAATACCAAAAATGCCCAAATGCCTGAACACAATTTCTTTTTCTCTTTTGTCTTGCTTTAATGTTTCCATTGAAAGAGAACCTCTATTTTTGGGGATTGTCTTGAAATAAAATTAACTGCGCAATTAACCTATTATGGGATTTCTATTGTTTGATAAAGTAGAAAAAATGATTTTGAGGGGCTTTTCCTAAGAATCTAATTCAATTTCTATTTTTCTAATTGATGTAATGACATTGAGTTCAAGTAGTTTCATGATTACATTTTGCTCTTAATTTATTCTTTTTACAGATTGTGGTTAATACTGGTAAATTTTCCTTTTTGTGATAAAAAGAAGGAAAAAAAATATCATGTTGAGGAGATTGTAAGTGCTTCACTGACTTGTTTAATGGGAGGTCATCTACATTTTTTTCATTTTAGTTTGAACAAGCAAGAATTATCAGGCTCTAATAAATAAACCTAAAATGTTCATATAAATTTTAGAGGAAACGTTCTCAAGTTAGATGAATTTTTTAACTCAGAGATTTCATGAATGGAGAGACAAAGAAGTATAATAAACTAGCATTGTGACCCGAATTATTTACTATTCACTTATTCAGTCCTATTTCACTCAAAAGAAAAAGGATAAAGGCAACTTTTTTTTGAAAGACTGAACAAAAATGGACGCTTTCTATAACAAAGAGCAGTTTGAGAAAGCATATTTGAAGCAGTGACAAAACTTGCTTTAGAGCACTGTACTGCATAGACCTGTAATTTGGGTCAAAGTGAAAGTTTTTAATTTTAATTTTTTTTGCAGCGCGAAGTTTTACTTATAATTAACTTAACTTATTTGAAATCATTCTAAATTTCAGGGACAAATAACATAAATTTTTAGACTTGGGGGGCAACGGTCCTCTGCCCCTGCTTCCGTCATTTGAAGTTTAATAGGATTGCACAAAACTATAGAAAATTTTAACTGCCTTATTTCCTAAATAATCTATTAGAAAAGAATTTTTATCATCAGTAGTAGTTGTACACTTATAGTTGGAGTTACCATTAGTATGATTTTTGTTTAGTGCTATTCTTATTGTTATTATGCAGCAGTAGGAAATAGGGTCTATGGTTCAATCTCGGGACTTCAGCTAAATTCGAATCCTATACCTCAAACAATTATCCCATTAACTGTCTGAGAAAACATAGAAATTAATACAAAAAGTACGGAAATTAGAACAGGAAGAGCACAACCATGTATTTGTTTGTCAAACTCAACCCAATTCTTACTAGTATACCAGAAAAAGTGCACGAAAAAAAAAGTACTTTTTGAACTTTTATTTATTCTATGTCATGGAATTCAAAACACCAAACTTTGGTTAGCTTTAAGGAAATTCTAGCCTCGTAAGATAATTTGTAGAAAGAATATTCTTCCAAGATGCATCCAAAATATTAAAGAGAGTGCTATACCGACTTGAACTTGAAATTTAAGGTACCATTGAAAATAGAGGACACCTTCTCATGACTATCTTAGGTTGATTATGTATTAAAAAAAAGTTTATTATGGATTATGGCATCAGATTTTTTGAAGTTTATAATTTGACCAGTGATTTGGAAACGGAAGATCTTTATAGTTTTAGAACTCAAACCAATCACCATATAAACTCAAAATTATCCTATTTCTACAAATCTTATGGGCATGGGATCAATAGTTTAAAATTCAAACTCAATTTCATCAATTTCAACTCCAGTTGATCCAAGATTTACACTAATAAACGCGTTAACATCACCATAGCATTGGGGGAAGATTCCTGGTACTAAGGAAATCAAACTCGTTTTTTTTTTTGTTTGGTTTGTGGATTTTGAAAAGGAAATCCTTTGCTTTTGTTTTTATCTTTATGAAAGTTAATTGATGAGTAGACGAATTTTGAAAAGGAAGATGAATATCTATTTTTCTTTTTTCTGAAAATTAAAAACTTAATAGAAAATCAATTAAAATATTCTAACTAATATTGTTTTGACCACCTCATTCTCAACTTCAAACCTTCACATTCAAACTTGAATGGAAACTGGAAAACTGATTGTAAAATTTATTAAAAAAAATATTAACAATAACAAAAATAAAAATAAAGAACAATATTTTTCTAAGAACATATGACACAAATTTTAGCAAAATGTAAAGAAATTGCAAAAATTGAAAATTAAACATGTGGTGGAGTCAAAGTAAAATGAAACTTACGAGTGCTTCAAATGATTTGGGGCTCACAAGTCAGTCCACAGCTTGATGAAGCTTCTCTACCTCTTCAACTCCTTTGGTGAATTGGTGGTAATGAAGAATTAATGCTGTAGTGAAATAAAAAATTGTTACCACTAAATTTGCAGAAAAGGTTTGGTATAGAGTCTGTGATCGAAGAAATTCCAAGAAATAAGAATATCTTGAGAAAACAGTGAAATTAGAATGTAGTCTGAATTATATGAAGATAATGGAGCAATTGCTTGGGTAAACTTGCCTTCCTTTTGGTGGGAGTAATAAATAGGAGGACCAGCGACAAGAAATTATCCTTTCATGCATTAATCCAATAGAGTATGGGATCTACATCAAATTTTTTTTTTTTTTAAAGAAAGAAAATGGAAGTTGCTACTTGACTTTTCGCAAATTTTCTACCAAATTGCCACTACTTATCTTTTAGCAAAATTTTTAAAAGATATGTTAATTTCTAAATTAGCAAATTGGCCCCTAAATATCATTTTCCTGGAAGAGTGGTTTTCATATTAGATGATAGTAAAATTCTAATATTTGGTAGTAGTACTAAACAAAAAAATTCGAATCCAAAATCTGAAAATAGAGAGAATTCTAAGAACCCTTCACTGTTTACTGAGCCAACTCCAACGATTGGGTATACCTTCTACGTTTTATACTGCAACATCTTTTTCTTTTGTTCTTTTTTCCCCAGTTGCAATCATCTGAAAAAATAAACAGTCTACTAACTATTTACACGTCTAATTAGGCCATTGATTCTTGTTCTTTTTCAGAGCATGTAGAAAAGCCGCCCACACTGCTAAGCCAATATTTTGTGTATCCTTGAAAGAAAACCTTTAGATCTACCTCCACTCCATCTAATCCCATCAGCAAAATTGTTCAAAAAAAAAGAAAAGATAGAGGAAGCATGACCTCCAAGTTCAACTAATCACATCACCAAAATTGTCAAAGAAGGCACTGTAAAAATGACTTTTTTCAGAAACCCTTTTGGATGCAATTCAAAGAAAGTGTGGCAGGTGAGTACCGTGACACTGATTACAAATATTAAGTTGCAGATAAACACGCACGAAAAAAAAGACTAAAAGTAAAAAAAAAAAATTAAAGGCTAAACACAAAATTACAAATTCTAAATTATAGTGTTGACTGGGCGCCCAAAGATAAATGACACTTCAGCACTCAATAGAAACTGCAATAGATCAAGACATCAATACTGAGAAAGAAAGAAACAAATTGCAGATATAAGTATTGAACATGACAACAATACTTCCTTAATGTAACTGGTAAAGTGATGATGCCACTTATGATTGAGATGTATACCAAACTTGGATTCCAAATTCCAGATTAGCAGACTGAGTTCTGTATTTTTAGCCTAAAAGATAGATGAGGTCGGTTATTTTGTTAAAAAACTAATTCTACTTTGCACCCTTGAACTTGTGCTCCATTTTAAATTTATACCCTAATAATTAATTTTGGACACTACTGATATTTCAATTAACGTTGTTAAATAAGCTATTTTCCATTAAACTTCCAATTTACATCAAATCATGGGGGGTGAAGTGGATGTTTTGAAACATTAGGATGGTTATGTGGCAATAGATACCACAAGAAGTTATTAGTAATTTACCCAAAAATAAAGTAAATGAAATGTTTTCTGTAGACCATCCAATTGACAGACACAAATAATTAGGAAAGAAAATTTCTAAAACTGATGGGATTCAAAGAGTAATGAACCATCAACAAGTGGATTAAAAATTTGGAGAAGGAAAATTTTAGTTAGATTAATAAGAACGAAGCTCCTTTCAAAGTCATTGTTTAATCGCATTATTCAACAATGGTGAAAATGAATCAAATTTGGTCCACTTTGTTTCAGGAGTGAATCGATAAAAAGACTAATCTAGGCCGTGATTTTCACAGTTTTACTCAATGTAGGACAAACAAATGCAATTTATACGTTTTTCATGGTTGATTAAATAATAAGTTTTTAGAGTTGCTAAATGAAATTGAAAAGATTGGTTAAATCATCGTCATTAAATCATTACAAGCAAAGAGTTTAGTAATAGCAAGAAGTTTTTGAGGAAAAAAAAAATACCCCAACATTAACTTTTATTTTTTCTCTTTTATCATAGAATAATGTCTCCATCGTAAGAGAAACTTTTATTTTTGTCTTGAGATAAAATTAACTTTTCTGTTGCTTTGGTATGGGATTTCTGTTCTCTAATAAAATGAAACAAATTATTTGAGGGATTTTTCCATAGAAAATAATTTTAATAGGATTGCACAAAATGAAAGAAAAATTAAAGTTTTATTTATGGTTGGGTTTGTAGAATAGTTCGGGTTAGAAAAGATTTATAATTGTTATCAATAATTTTCCAGGAACACGATCCCTATTGCTGCTTATAAAAAAAAAATCCAAAGTCAATAAATTGTGGAACTTCCAATGGAGGAAGACAAAAAATTAGGAAAAGAAAATTTCTAAAACAGCCAAAAACTGCATATGAGTTGATACTTTTAGCACACTTAAATTCCCTAAGTCCACTTAATTTATAATCATCAAAAGGAGATATTTATTTTTAAAATTTTCGATGTAGGATATAAAAACAAACTCAACAAAATTTTCCTATCAGGTAAAGGGGTATTGCTCACATTCACATATGATACTAAGATGTGCCTCAGCCATTTTTTTTCTAAATATATATTCTTATTCTATTTAGGACAATTTTGTAGGCCATTCTATGCTAATTATTTTTGTAACAAAGTTGTCTAAACCAAAAATAAATTTTCACGCTCCTACCTCACATGCTAAACAACGATAAATTTCTTTTCTAATTTGTTCATCAGTTTTGACATTTTTTCACAAAGCATCAGTGTTAAAGTGACTTAAGATTGTTTTAACAAATATCCAACTAAGATGATTGAATTCAAGCCACTGGTAAAGTTTCGAAAATTTTTATCCTCCCACAACTTTGCCACTTTTGAACCTGTTGCACAAAGCATTAGTGTCAAATGATTTGAAGATCATTTTACCAAATATCTAGGGTTGAAAACAAGTCTCAACGAGTTGGATAGAAGTATGTCAGGATGAGCTTGAAGATTAAAAGTAATGTTTGAATTTTGCTTGTATTTGAAATTTTTTTGAAAGAAACTAATCGAGTTTGGCTTGAACTTTCAAATGTATGTTCACGGAAAGCTTGACTTGTTAAAGTATTGTGTTCAAGCATATACAATCAATTCCGATAAATTAGGGATGTGATTAAAATCAATTACGCCTATTCAAGAGACAAGAGTATTATATGTTTGCTATTTTAGAAGATAAGCAATATACGGAAAGAAAAAAGTGGAGTTAAAGAAGGAAACTATAGGTATATTTTTATAAATTTACTTGCCTTATATGGTTTTCAACATATCGGACAATATGAAAATCATGATTGATTCATTAATATTTTCAAGTATGAAGTCATGTGTGAGATTGGATTAATATCTAAACAAATAAACTTAAATGAACCCAGCTCGAATCGAGTTCAAGCCAAGTACAAAGCTAGTTGATTCAATTTATAGCCCTACAAATATCCCACTAATATTATGGAAATTAAGCTGCCGATAAAATTTCAACAGTGGATTTTTCTCAAGTGATAGGCCCAAGTTATAATTCACAGACAACATTTAACAACCAAATAGAGTACATTAACACTAGTTGGACCTCCAACATGCTAGAGTAGAAGTAACATCTAGAAGTAACAGTAGGAGTAGATGATATCGATCGATAATTAAAAAAAAAAACACACACACACACACTAGTACAACTGTGGGACACAAATCAATGCACAACTTCACAATACCAAAGCTCTAACTTAGACAGACACCGAATCAAATAAGCTAGGGAGACTAATCCCAAGCTTACTAATGAATCCTAACTCCTATTTCCTATTTCCTATTTATAGATGGTACTAGGCTGTGAGAATTTCTAGAAAGCAAAGGATTATTTCCTATAAAGTTGAGGCGGTGGAAATTACAAGGTGTTACTTCTAGACTAATCTAGAGATGAATCTTCTACAGATATATAGAGAGAGAGGCCGCGCATTTCCCGCACCAACATCACCAAACGGTCCAAACCCAAAAAAAAAAAAGGAAAAAAGAAAAAAGTCAATATTTTACCCATAACTAACCTTTTGTCAAGCAACAGCCATATCTCCAAATCGCAGCTTTTAGGTCAGATCAAACAACGTTGGCTTCTTAATTTAGTTGCAGGCTTACTTTTTTTATGACCTCGGAATGGATAATATAGCACGCAAATACCTGGAAAATACAAATTGAAAAAAGTTAAAAGAGTAATGAGAAGGAGAAGCAGATTTGGAAAGAAAAAAAAAAAAGGAAAAAAATTCATTGGTATTATAGGCCATTTATTGATCAGCCGTACACAACTGCAAAGAAATTTTTTAAAATTGAAAATGCAATGAAGTTGAAGGAAACTAAAACTCACTGTAGCAGACAAAACAAGTTTGCTTCGAATGATTCGGGGCTCACAAGTTGATCAGTCCAGAACATGGAAGTTGATGATGAAGCTTCTCTACTGATCTTCTTCGCCTTTGGTGAGTTGCTGGTGATGAAGAATGCTATGGTGAAAGGAAAAATGATTGGGACCAATGGTTGCTACTTTTTCTTTTGGCAGATTTTCAAAGAGTTGTTAGTTTCTAACCAAGTTGGCCCCCTAAACATCGTTTTCAAGGAACAGTACTTTTTATATTAAAATAAAAACGGAAGGAAGGGGCACAGTTTGCAATGAGTTAGAGAAGCAGATTAAAATAAAGAATCTTTTACTTCTCCCAATAAAGGATTTTTTTTCTTTTAAATTTTTTCTCCCAATTGCAATCATCCGAATAAAATAAAATGTCTACCAAATATTTATACTTCAAATTAGGTGACTGATTCCTGATCTTTATTTTTCAACACTTATACAAAAGAGTCGGCACACATTTATTAGGCCAATATTTGTGTATCATAGAAACAAAACTATTAGTTCTGGATTCCAGGAGAAAAAAAAGGAAAAAATGACTTCCAAATCCAAGTAATCACCACGGCGAAAAAAACAATAAAGCATGACCTCCATATCTAACTCATCAAATCACCAAAATTGTAAAAAAGGACACTGCAAATGACTTTTCTTCGGTAAGAATTATTGGGTGCAATTCAAAGAAAGTGTGGCAGATGAGCATCTTGACACTAATTACAAAAAGACCAAAAATCTAAAAAAGGACTTAAATGCTAAACACAAAAAGGCTAGGGATAATTTCAGAAACCCCCCTTGAGGTTTCTTAAAATTTCACTTAGCTCCCCAAGGTTTCAATAATTACATAGACCTCCATTGATCCAATCAAATGACTAAAATGTCCTCCACTTAGTAGTTAATTCATAAAGTGACATTCAAAGCCGAAAAATTATTTTTATTCTACCTGCCATTTTCTAATTTCAAAGAACAATTTTCATCAATTTTTTAATTTTCATCTCTTCCTCCTTTCCTCCATCCCTCTTTCATACTATTTTCTCTTTTCTCCTACAACCGCTTCTTCCTCTCACTAAAAACCATACATGTGACGCCCCGAAAGAATGAGTGCGAGAACCCAAAAATTTTCTAAGTTACTAGGGTTTATTTTATTGATCGCCCGCCTTTTTCGACATTTTCTTTATTAGAAAATTCCCCAGATAATTTTATCGAATAAATATAGTTTTTAGATGATTTTTCTAGTATCAGTTAGTTTTTGAGAAATTAAGAACACATATCGGATGTGGGGCCCACTAATGAGGAAAGTTCAGTAAAATTCGGCCAGTTAGGTTAAGTTTTGGATACTGGGTTTAATTTACCGGGTGTTATAAGATAATTAGAGGTTACCAAGTGGATTGGTGTGAGAGGAACAAAGAGATAGCTATGCATTTAATGAAAGTGACAAGTGTCACTTAGAGATTAAGTCTTGATTCTTGACCACTATTCATCCTTTTACTATTTAAATCAAAAATTGACCAAAATTCACCCTTATTTTCAAGCTTCTTGGCCGGCCCTTGCTCAAGAAAAAAGAAGAAAAACTACTCAATTTTCTTACCTTCAATCTTGCTCAATCTTTCATTCCAACCGGTTAATTTTCAAATTACTCCATAAAACCTATTAATTTAGGGGTATTTAGGTGATTGGTGAAGTTATTTGGAAGGTTAAGGTGCTAAGTGGTCTCTTTTCTTTGGTTACTAAGGTGAGTGACTATGGAACCTCTCTCTTCTATTTAATGATGTTTAATTAATGACTTGTGGTGGTTATAAGTGTGATTTGGTGGATTATTTCTTGATTTTAGTTAAGATTAGTGAATTTTTCTATTTATGTGGGATTTTTCTGTTTTCATATGATTAATATTATGTGGCCATGTATGATGGTTGGAAATAGTTTAGAATGAAGCCTTAGGGTTAAGATAGCGGCTATTTGCGGAAAATTTCCGCATTGAACGGAAAATTTCGGAATTAGGGTTTCGATTACCCCCTTTCTGCCCGGCACTGTTCATCATAGTTAGAGGCCGAATTAGCCTTGGATTAAAACATTAAAGTTGTAAGGAATGATATTTTAGAGATGCCTGCAAAATTTCAGCTTAATCGGAGCAACGTAGCCGGTGAAAAGACCAAAATACCCCTGCTGCCCTGTTTCTATCCGAACTTGATAATTGCTTCTGTAATTGGTTAATTTGGTTGGGAATACTTCTGATTTGGTTGTTGACGTCTTCTTAAGAAATGTAGCCTGGTGTCTTAGCTTTCGGATGGCTTTGGAATCACTTGATTTGGACTTAGGTAGCCTGAATTACGGTTCGTTAACCAGAATGCAGTTTGTTAACCTGTTTTTGCGGTTCTGGTTTGGTATGTTGACATTTTGACCTAGTTGCATCACAAACTGGACTGAGTGGCCTTCTTCAATATTGTAGACCTTTATGTTAGCTTCGAAACGGTATAAAGTTTATCCAAATCCGAGTCCCGTAGCTCCAGTTATGACCAAAACAAGATCGGTTGTCCGAACTGCCTTAGAATTTCGACAGTTCTGACAGGAATGTTTTGACCCATTCTCCTCCATGCTCTGTATTGATTCAGCTTTTGGTCCAAACATGAAAGTTATAGCCTTATGTCCTAGCTTTCCAACGCCTTTGGAATTTCTTGATTTGGATTTGTGAGCTGTGAGTTATGGTCCAGCAAACAAACCCTATTTGTCACCCTAAGACGTAAATTTCTGGTACTGTTTTCCATAATTTCGACCTGCTTCCATTCAGATCTAAATTAAGATGTCTTCAGGAGAATTATAGCCCTTCCTCATAGCTTCGAAATGGTGTCTCGCTCACCTTGATCTGACATTTCTAGCCTAACTTTTGATCAAAACGGTTTGAAATGGCAGATTTGGCCATTTCCGTTTGCCGTTCCGCGCGCGCGTGCGCCCATTTTGCCATTTCCGCACTTGCATGTGCCAATTTTGTCGTTTTGCTTGTTTTGGGCATGTTAGTGGCCGTTTGTGATAATATGTGATACAATTTTCTATTTCAGACAGTGGTGAGTTAGGCGGAGCCGGTGGGGCCCACTACAAGCGAACACGCGCGAAGTGATTTTGCTCTTGTACTACTTTTGTATTTTGGGTAAGTATTCAGGCCGTTTATGTGTATAAACTGCTTATGTGTTTTGATATGAAAAGGGGAACTTAGGCGAGGGTGTACTTTATCACACTCGAACTAAACCCTAATTTGTACCTATGTTTCTCCATGAGATGTGTATATATGAATTATTTTGGGGTTGAACCCCTTGAGCTTGGAGCTCGGGGTGACTTTCGTGAGTTCGTGAAATATGTTGGAGTTGTGGGCCAGATCTCAAGATCTGGATGGACTATTCGAATCGGCCGGGGCTTGGTCGGAGCCAGTCCAACCTAGTCTGAGGTCACCAAGTTTGTAGGTTCCAGTTGTGAATCAAATTTGTGACCCGAGCTTGTGACTCAAGCTCAAGTTTGTGATTTCGTTCGCCCGGGCAAGTTTGTGAGGTGACTGGCCAGTGAGGGTGATAAGGTGTTCGGTGGGTATACAAGTGGAGTTCTACGGACCTTATTTATGGTCGACGAAGTGTCGACAGGAGATCACGCATGGCAAATGACTTGGCTTTGGAGCCAACCTGTATCCTTCCTTTGTATTGTTACTTTTGTGCTTGACTTGACATTTTGTGAAATAGTTGTTTCTTTAAATGTGAAATTTACGCTTTTACCCCTATTTACTTACTAAGTTTCTAACTTACCCCGTTTCCTTTGTTTTCCTTAGCAGGGGACGACGCGGGGAACTTCTTGGCACCTTCACTAGTATAGTTAGGTTTGATTGTAATAGTCGGACAGTTAGGATGTGTGTTTTTGTTTTGGTGGTTTGTATAAGAACCCTCCTTAGGGTCTACCTTCTGCTAGTTGTTATTATAATGTATTAGAGTGGTTTGACTCGATACTTTTGAAGTTGTAAATAGAACTCTTTTGGCGTTAGATATATTGTGAATAGTACGCTTGTGGGTATATCTAGTTTTATTGTTTTAAAATTTTGAGTCCTGGCGCGAGTTAGGCAGGCGTCCCGCCGATACCCTAGGGTTCGCCCTTGGGAGAAGCGGGGGCATCATAGGTGGTATCAGAGCGCCTAAGTTGAAGGACTTGAGCAATTGTGAGACATACGTGATAGGTTCATTAGGAATACGTGATTCTCTTTAAGATGAATGATATATTTTAAGGTGAAATGCCGGCTAACTAACGAATTAATGTTTGTAGGTATGGACCCAGGCAGTTCTAGTGGTGTTGGACCTAGCGGCGTGGGACCGGGACCGAGACCTCCTGATGTGAGGGGCCCGGAGGACCGGGTGTTGCGTAAGCGTGCGATCCGATATCGGAAGAGGTTTGGGGAGTCCTACATTTTGTATTCCCCCTTTGGTCAGGTGTCGCGCCGACCCTGTGCGTGTTGGTATACATATGGCTATCCCGACGAGGTCATCTTAGCGGTGGATGATGAGCGTTATCACCTAAACAGGACGGTCGAGACTTTGAGGGCGCAGCTGGAGAAGGCTAGAGAGTTTAGCCGCTAGCAGGCGTTGCGCGTTAGGGACCTGGAGCGGGACCTCCGAGACACACACCAGCACCTCTTCGCTATGAAGAGGCAGCTTAGGGAGAGGGCCCGGAGTATCACGTTTGACTGCGGGGTCTTACTAGATATGGCCGCGGAGGCACCGCCGCGAGCTACCGGACCAGAGCAGATAGGCGAGATAGATACTTTAGGTTCCGTTGGGAACCGGGGCCCTAGGGGAGGCGTTTAGGGTCGCTTTTGTATTTTTGATTAACTGGCAGATTACTTTTGTTAGAACTGGCATGGCTAATTTCTTTTGTTATCTGGTTGACTGACTAGATTTTTGGAGCCGGAGTGCTCGTGTGTGTACTGGGTTTTGTACTGACTGGAGGTCGGGTAATTTGTATATCTTTTGGTGTGACTTTGTAAATAAATGTATATATTCGAGTATTATCTTTTGCACCTATCCTTTGCGTGCCTTTCGTGTATTTTGTTTTGTATGTTTATTTTGTTTCGAGTTTGAATACTAAGCACACGTTATGCTTGGATCTATAGACTTTTGCACCTAATGGCCT